CGGATTTAGAAGGGTTTGGAACCAGCAGTTCAACGAACGTAGTTTCGAGGGAAAACTACTTGAAATTCCAATATCCCATGCTCAGAAATGATTATGGATATCCAGGTAATTCAGTTGTATACAGGGTGCTGGATTATAATGAAATTTTACGCCCCATATTTGCACACTCGCAAACATTGAATTAGAGATCTTTTTCTCGTATCTTTACGTTTTGCATTAGGGCATTATTGGTGTCATAAACTGCCACGTAATTTTCTTAATTTTCAGAGCATGCTTCTTTAAATTATAAAAATGTCACTATGATGTTTTTCGTCTTTGATATTCTTCAGCTTGTTTGTGTTTTCAGTGGCGCCGATTCACTACTACTCATACAAGCGTGCCGCACTTAAAATAAGTGATCCGAGGTTGTATCGAGACGATTGGATCAATCATCAATTGAATCACATGCGCTCATGATCTAAGAGACTTGCCGACAGTTTTCATCAAATTCTTAGTCAAACAGTTCCTACTCCATCTTCCAACAATTTAAACGCAGTGCAAGGTGAGAAAAAATGTGCTGACTTTTCGTAATTAAGGGATTTGAAGGGCAAGGTGCTTAAGTGCAGATTTAAAAAAAAAATTGAGTTATTAACGATTTTAAGTATAACTAGTCTTAACGCATGTTGTATGAAAAATTCGCTCCCAAATTCCAATTTTTATGCATAAAAAAGTCAATTTGAACTTTCTTTCCACCATGAGGATTCATGTAATTTTGAAACTTCAAACACATATTTCTCAAAATGACAAAAACTGCCCTTATATGCGCTTTGTCCTCCAAGCCCCTCAATTGCAAAATATAGTAAGAAATAAAGTACCTAGTAAGTATATTAGTACTTAATGTTGTAAGAAATACATCGAGGGTGGCAGCGGAAGAGCGCATATAACTTGTTTGATGCGATGTTTCGAAATCTTCGCTAGGGTCTGACTGGCCCACATCTCAAGGCGTAGACCCTTAGCCGGCTAAAAGGGCGTAAAGTGATATTTTGCCCCCCCCCCCCGTTTTTTAAGAAACGTACCACGCGAGTTGTATGGGAGCGCAGTACATACGAGCCGTAGATGTAGCTCTGTAAATATTAGTACATTAGAGAAAGAATCAAACTTCAAATTGAAAAAAAGAAGAAAAAATTGAGGAACAACAGAGTCGAGACGTAATCGGGCCAAGTTTTTTAAATTTTTCTCTCAAATCTGAGCGACACCTCACTGGCAGCATAGGACGGAGCATTGGGAGTTCACGCCTAGCGCCATCGCGCCTTCAATTTTGCAGATGCAACACGGACATCCATCATGTACGAATAGTTGTATCTCTGCGCCGTCATCAACGCGCCTCCTTTTACTTTGCTCTATTTCCATACTATGTTTCTTTCAGTTTGTCTTATTTGTATTTGTAGCGGTGCTTTAAAGACTGTATGGGCATCACAGCCGTAAAAAGAAGAGGCGTAATAATCGAGCCTCCTTTCTTAATTTTCTCACAACACCTCATTAGCAGCACAAAGCGGAGCTGCGGAACATCGCGAATCCACAGCTCGCGCCATCGCGCCTTCAGTTTTGCAGATGCAACACGGACATCCATCATGTACGAATATTTGTATCTCTGCGCCATCTTTTCATTTGCACTGCTATTAATTTCCATATTGTGTCAGTTTCGTTTGTCTCATTTTTAGTGGTGCTTCAAGGGCTACGTGAGCAACACAGCCGAAAATAGGATGTGCCCTGATCAATTATCATTTTAAAAAGAAAAAAAATGTTAAAGGTCACTCAAGCGATCAAAAAGGCGCACGTCTATAAATTGACTGTGCTACCTCATGTGAGGGAGTGACACATGGCGGATGAGGACGGGGGGTGATAATGCGTCTCTATGTTACCAGAGAGGTGAAAATTTCGAAGAAAAGAATTTTTTACCGATCTCAGAAAGTTCATGTAGGTATAGGTATTTTGACACTTGACAAAAGTTCGAGAGCTATTTTGATTTCCTCACTTAATGACGCTCATAATCCTCTTTTCGAAAAGGATAATCAACAAAAATTTTCAAAGCTAATTTTACGATGAAGATTGACCAATTTTTCACGTAGGTAATAGCGAAAGCTAAAAGCGTAAATGTTGATAGCGTAAGTTTGCACTTTATTTAATCCGATGTATGCTAGTGAGTGAAATAATTGTCATCCATTACAGCTTGATTAAACAAGGATGTCCCAATTTTTCACATTCTCCTCTTCAAAATATTGAGCTACGGATACAAAATCTGAATTCAGCAAATAGAAAAAAACCAAAACATCAATTTTCCAGCATTTTTGTAGGCCCATGCAGGCGCCTCTGAGAACTTAAATCCGGTTTATATCTCCAGGACCCCCATTCACCACTATCATGCGTACGAGGACCTTTCTTTACTCTTACTTTCGCTCTTCTTTCCTTCATTTATGAATTTCCCGCATTTTTTCTCTTATCTTATTTTGCTATATCTGGCAGAGGCGCGCGTCTTCGATGCGTCAGGGGAGCGTATCTGCCAATGGCAGATTGGCTTTATGGCCAGTCCGACTCTGAATCTCCGCTCTTAATTTATTTCATCAGGAATGAAAAAACCAACATTTTCACGGAGTATTTTTCACACAGAGATGAGAAAATCAGAGACTGGAGAATCAATTTTCGAGAAATGAAGTTGAGGACTCATATAGGTATTTTTCCATTTGAAAATTAAGCAAGACAGGAAATCCGCAAAGTTCGCAATCTGATTATCTGATATACGCGTTCCTGCAGTTTCACTGTCGACTTTATTTTTTTATTTTTTATTAAACCCTTGGATGACTAACCGTTCTTACCTACACGAACGCCTAACCAAGGCATGCGAGGCCCGTAGTTAGAATAGATCGATGGTGAAAGTGCAGAAGTGCGTCTCTCAGAAAACACGATTTCCCAGGATAATAAAAAAAACTGTCTACATTCCTCTTTATTGTTAGTAGAAGGGCAATAAATCTTGAGGATAGCAAGAATAAGATGCTTTTTCAGACTCCATCTTGCGATCTTGTAAGCGGCGACTCTCTCAATCTTGCATGAGAATACGATGACCAAAACTACAAGACTTAAAACCACAATCTGAACCGAGCGTTTGGGCTCTCTTTTCTGAAATAAGAATTACCGAAAAAAAAAATTTGGAAAGCGCAATAATGTTCTTCGGGCATATTTCAAAATTACGGCTCGATTGAAGACTCCAAAGCTCTAAACATTTCTGGTCAACATCGTTGTACAGGGACACTCAGATACAATACATAAGAGAGCCTTCAATCCACTATGTAATCTTAATGGTAAATTCTGATACCACTATTCAAGCGTCACGACAGTCATTTTGCATAGCCGGCCAATTGAAGGCGAATCATTGACCTAGGCGACAGGGTACATATCTCAGCAATGTGATACGTGTTTTTAAGGGAACAAAACATCCAGGGGTGCCCCAGCTGGTATTAATCAATCTCACCTGGCAAAAAACAGAGAAAAAGGCATAACAGCCATCAAATAACCATATACTCTCACTAAGGGGCCTCGCAGGTCCTGGTCAGTCATTTTGGAGGTATACATGAAAAAAAATTTCAATTTTTTTTTTTTTTTCAAGAATCATGTTTTTCAGTGTTTTTGTAGAGCTATTAGTGAAGGACAGACTTCTCCGTCAATAACAGCCGCTGTGGCGCGAAATATAAAAAGCCATCCGCCCTAGAAGACCCGGTTATGACCATCTAAGGGTTAAACATATGACAATGGCCAAAGTGCGAAACCACGCATCTTCATTACGGTGCGGTGTTTGGAAAGGACCCCGCACACCTCTTATGGGAAGCTGCACCATGACCGATTGCCTTCTGACTTATGTCATTCGATTTTCCTCAAGATGCTGATCATGAGTTATATTTGCGCCAACTTTCTACGACGCACCGTTTTCGCAAAAATGCTAAGACAAGAATCAATTATTCGGCGACAGTGAATAAAAAAGAGCAAAGCATTTGAGAACAGGCCCGATGTAAATAAGGAAAAAACGTAGCGTGTGTCCGTCGTAGAAAGTTGGCGCACTTATAACTTTTGATCAGCATCTTGAGGAGAATCGAATGACATAAGTCAGAAGGCAATCGGTCATGGTGCAGCTTCCCATAAGAGGTGTGCGGGGTCCTTTCCGCTCCAATTTTATTTTTCCAAGGAAAACCGAGCCAAGTTTATAAGTGGCTTGTTTATACAGTTTAAGTGTTCTGCTACTACCTAGAGAAGAAAAATCCAGGCAGTTTACAAAAAATTACATTGACTTGTTTCCTATAGAAAAAACCAAGTAAGACAAGAAGTCTACAACCTATCAAACAAAGATACGTGGTTTTGTACTTTAGCTATAGATAAGTACCTGCATGTTTTGCCTTGGCTCACAATTGCTCTGAAATCAAAACACAATACACTGAACAGGTTCATCTATTAGACCTTCTATTTATGATCAAATTTGATCATGATACCTAGGTATTATATGTATTTCCCTATGTTCCTCTCATTTCACTTGCGATGCTATTGCGCTTAAGGGAAAAGCTGTGCAAACGAACACTGTCAAATCTCTCATTTGCTGGAAAGCTTGGGGATTATCTCTTGCTCAAGTAGGATTTTTCAACAGAAAAATTGCGATATTTTGAAATTAAGTTGCAATTTTTTTGTGGTGAAATTGCTCGGATCATCAACATTTGAACAATTAACCTCGATCTTGTCACAATTTTATCCCGATTTTTTTATCAATAATATTGCGATAAATCACCGTTGCTAAAATCGCGATTTTATTGCAAATTTAAGCCATGAAATCACAATTCATCGCAATTTTCCATCTGAAATTATTGCATAAATCGACGTTGATAAAATGTATTAGACCTTCAAAGAACCAGACCATAATAGCTTAATCTTGAATAGAATGAATAATTTTCTTTATGAAATGAAAATAAAAAGAAGTTACTAAATTATGAGACAAAATTTATTGGAGGAGTCAAAAAAAGACAGAGGAAAAACTTTGTACAGTGATGATATAAAAATTTAATCTTAGATTACTTAATAAAATCTGTAAGTAAATAAAGAGAGAAATTGTATGTACATTAAATTTCAAGAGCTTAGTAAAGAATACTTAGAAATTATGATTTTACAGGGACACAGTATTTACAAGAAATAAAAAATATTACGCCTGAACAAATACATTTCAATGCTCTTGTCAAGGTATGCCGTCGGATAAAGTGTCCCTGCCCGAGAGAAAAATGGTAGATGTTGAAATTTAGAGAACAATATCTCCATGAAATAACAGGAAAAAACCGATGAGTCAAAATTTTAAGAGAGATTATTGACAATTTTAGTGTCCCTTGGTTTGTAACCAATAGATACTTCTGGCTTCTATGGCAGGAATGCAACTTTAGTGACACTGATCAAAATACTACTACATAGGAGGGGATTATTTTGTGTTGACATAAAATGAAATAACAAGTATCACTGTTACTGTAACACTTAGACTGTTTAATTAGACAGGAACAAGACAGCTTAAAATAATTTTGTGGACGATGAGATCATTGGATTAGTTTTAGAACATTAATCATCCGAAATTTTCATAACATCAGGAAATGAGGCAAAAGAGAGGTCAGAGTAAATAAGAAAGTGAAAGAAAACTGTGAGCTATGAAATTTCAAAGTCAATCGGACATAGTTCAGGAAAGAGACATAATTTACATAATCTCAGTTGATTGTCCCAATCTCTGAGATCTGATTACCGAATTCCAAGACAAATTCACTTCTAGAAGCCTACAAATTGCACTTTTTTCAAATGCATGCGTCATCAGTAAGTTTAACACAAGTAGGAAAAAAGACAGAAAAACTTCATACAGAAATTCAAGATGAATGATGCGAGATTATAACTCTTAAAGCAGCACTGTGTGCACTTTTGGTGCACAAAGCAAACTTTTGAGACAATGCAGATAATACCAGAATCATACAATGCAATTCACTGAGTTCTGCCTTTCTCATGGCTTCGTATACAGTATTTAAAGTCATATCAACAAGTTGTTTCGAGTCCAACGAAAATATGTTGACGCCTTATTTATACATGATTGAAGTGAGATTTAGCAACTTTTACGGCTTTTCGGCATCAATCGCCCCCATCTTTGATAGTGTGATTCGAGTTCAAAAAGAGCAGTTTGTCAACAATGTCTGGCGACAATGACATTCGTTTGATCTGGAAACTAACTTGTGTGTCAGTAGGGATCCTGCAGGAAGGAGTTGCAGACGCTGGTAGGCAGTTGTACTTTCTGACCAGTTTTGCCAAGTTTGGACAGCGTGAACCCTGCTTCTTCCACCACTGAAGCGGGCAGTCATCCAATGGTGCTGTGCTTTCAGACTGAAATTGGAATACTTCGTGGTTTGCACGCTCCTCTATGCCGATGTCAGACTTCAATGTGTGTGCTCCACCGAGAAGGAACTCCATGCCTGAAAGAAGAGAGAAGGATGATATAAATTTTCCTTGTTTAAACTATAGCACAAATAGATAAATAAAAAAGAACAAACACAGCGATGAAGCCACTTTACCGAGTCAACACAGTATCAAAATAGTCCGGTGTACTAAGCTCATCTTACCGAGAAAGAACACTCCAAGGTCAATCAGTTGCTTCAATTCTGCACTTTGTCTTAACAAATGCACCCAATGCGCGTAAAATTTTCAAAAAAAAAAATCCTTGATTACTCTCAAAACAACCGAAATTTCTTAGTTGCATCAAAATTTCAAAATTTCCCACTGTTAAGCAAAACAGTTTTCAATTTGAAGCTGTCCATCGATGAAGTTTGGTGCTTACACGGAGCAGGGGAGAAGGTATGTCTAGGACTGCCTTACAAACTCTTTTAACAGGGAATGAGAGGAGGATAGAACCCAAACTGGGGGGAGGGAAGCAAAAAGGTGAGAAAAAAGCCTGTTGCAGGGTGCCTACATTAATCAATTAATGAAAATACGGTAATTTTATATGGTTTTTTTATAGCCACTTTTGGAAAAAAGTATTGCCGTCCATAAAAATAGAAGTTTATCCTCTTGTTTCGACCCACAGCACTTTTTTAAAATTTCTCAGAAAAAATGATCAAGTAATAACTCACTGTTTATGCTTCCTTCTTGCGGGCATAAAACATGAAAAATTGGTTTACGAGAAAGAAAGAAAAGTAGAGGAATTTTAAAAGAAACGGTAAAATTTAGTGGAGTTGCACTGAAATCCTGTAAATTTGTAAGGCTATGAAATTACAGCACTTTCATACAACTTTCCTACACAAATTTAAAACTGAAATTGCGTTAAAGCAATATTTTATGACATTCCAAAAATTGGATTGAGCGCCTTTCTGACATCATTCCTTTATAGATGGCCCTTTTCGGCAAGTTTTCTCTAATTGTTTCTGGTTAGCTAAAATCTACAGAATTTTCTGCACCATTGCAACCTTGCTACTCCTTTCTAAAGATGCACATTCTGAAAACCACAGGTTTCTTTTTGCAATGGAGTCTTGAAACAATATTACTAGACACAGGGTCTTTAAGACACAAGTTGGATGAAAAGGAAAAATCTGCCAAGATCATAATCTGTATAACTGGTCATGGCTCCTTGATCAGTAAAAAACTCTGAAATTTTAACTTCTGGATGTTAGTTTTAGTCAAAAAAATCAAAATTGTTAATTATTTTAAGTGTTGTACAGTTATTTTTTAATACAATGTTTGATGCAAACGATTCATGTAACAACTACGCTTTTTTATTTTGGTCTATGCATTACTATACCTTTGGATAAAATAAACGACACCAAACAACAACTAAACAAAACGATTCAACTAGACAGTACCAACAAGAGGAAATCTGTTCTATGACTAAGAGTTAACATAAGAAACGCAAACCATTATTTTTCTCAAGAATTTTAGAAGATTAATATGTACTTTGAAAGAGGGACTTAATGAGAGATGATTAAATAAATTGATTTGTTTTAATAAAAATATTACTTCAAAAAAGAAAAAAATAATAATAGAAATTTAAATAAAGAGTAGTAGAGAGAAAGAGAGAAGAAATAAAAATTAGGTATAAAATTTAAGTAATCAATTGCCCTTTCCTTTCGCGAATTAATTTAACATTTTAAAAGAGAAAGTTATGAAAATTTTCCATCCTTGTTGATTTTATCATTAACTTTTGGTTGCGCAAAAACTTAGGATAGAATTATTCTTTTCTATTCTAAGTTTTTGCGCAGCCAAAAGTTATTCCGAACTGAGAACCTGCCAAAAATAAGTATGTCATTTTTAATTTCACTGGGTACCATTTGTAATACGTGCTTGAAAATCAGTTTTTAATACCTTAAAAAATCACAGTTCCTCTGTCCTAGTTTTTCTCTTTTGATCTTTCTGCCAATAGGTTTTACTATTTTTAAACTATTAAAAAGTAAAGATCCCTCACCTGAGAGTCGACTCTTCTTTGACGGTTGTGACCCATCGGATGGTTGATTTGGTTCGCCTTTTCCTGGGTTGACGACTCCCTCCTGCCTGATGAGGTTTATCAGCAAGCCTTTCACTCGTTCTTCCAAAACTGTGAAGTAACCATCGTCTGTGCAGCAGGGCAGCAGTTTGAATCTTGGGTCAAGAGCTGTTGCCACCAGCAAAAGTGATCGCACGGTTTCCTCATCATAACTGGAAAAGATTATTCATCACAGACTGTTATTTAGATAAAAACCTAAAGAGAGAACCTAAACCTTGCTAACTACGGCTATTTACAAAGACGGCATAGCTTTGTTTGCGAATTAAAAACAGTTGATAAGTGGTAGTTTTACATAGAGATGAAAATTGAGCGACTAATTTAAAATGCTATCTTCGGTGGCAATACTTTGAAGCAAGCACTTGGCAGTCAAGCACATAAAGTTTGAACGTACTAAGAATAAAAAAACAGAAGCTATTAGGCCACGCCACAGGTCAACAGTAAATTTCTAAATGGAATAAAGCTCAAATTAGAATTTCCTGCGCCATTTGATCATACAAAAGCAAACAATGACTCTAGTCTGTTAAGGCGCTTTCAGACAGCTCGCTTTACAACATATAATTGTTTACCCAAATCGCTGCTTGCAGCACTGATGGCACTGATCTTATAAAGCTTGTCAAACAGTCTCACTAGCAGCTTGACAAACCTTCTGAACGTGCCTTTATTGATAAGAGAAATTTAGTTTTGTTTTTCCAGTCTCACTTGAAATTAGAGAAGAAGTCATTAAACTCAGAAATAGGGCACCTTCCCAGCAATTTAAAACAAACATCATTTATTCAATTCTATTGAGAAAAAACATTTAAAACAGGATGTAGCTAAGACAGTCTAGAGATTTGTGCATCCTAAAAATACCCCAGATAAAATTATCATGTGATCATAATTACCTCCTTTCCAGTGATTCTGACAATGTGACCTTTAGCCTTCTTGCGAAGTTTGAGTCTGTATCTTTCACTTTGAGATGTGAGCTCACAAGCTGCCATAATAGTGGTCTTATCAGAGAAATTAAAGGCGTCTTCTCTTCGCTCAAAGTCATCATGGTGATCTAGAAACCAAGAAATTTAAATTACAAAATGCTCCTTTTCTATTCAGAGATTCAAATTGGATGGAGCTACACGCATATACTTCAACAAAAAAAAAATCGGATCATAGCAATGACTGACAATGGCAGGGCAATGTTATTTTCGGTGCCAAGGAAGCAAAAATACTAATTGAAGATGTGGAAGCTAGAGTGGTTGGATTGTGCAGCTATGTTTCACTTGACTACTTATTCTATTATTTATTAAGGGGTACATGTTTTGTGTTAAAAAAGTTGAGAAAATTTAGGAAAATCTTACAGAAATTTTAAATGAATTTGAAAAGGAAATGTGCAACCATTCTTGAATATAATTTTGCGGTGTGATTGAGCTCCTATGATCTCATCCCTCGGATTTTAAGTCAACATTCCTCGGCAACAGACTTAATTCATACCACTTCCTTACAAAAGCTGTCGTCAATCACACAGCTCTTCAATCACCTTAAAGATAAAGAGATAAATAAGAGATTTGTACCTTAAACGGGTCCAACACATTTATGATATCTTCGATCATGGCCCACTCAGCTTCATTAAGAGTGAGACATTCTTTTTCCGGCGGACTTAAATCTGAGGCTTCCAAGGCAACGGGTAGAACGTACTTGCGGGCCAAGCAACCTTCAAGGAATGCGTAAGTTGAGATCCACACCGGTGGGTAATCAGCACTGCACGATGTATCCTCAACCTACAGGTGCATATTAACAAATCATTTGTTAGAAAGATTAATTTGCATGATCATTTACTACGTTGGGTATAATGAAAGCAAAAGTGCAAAGTTACAACTGCTATAGGGAGACGAGTGCAGAAGTGATAAAAACAATATATTTTGAAATATCAGGAGATTCTGATGTAAAAAAAATTCTTGACGCAATGGAGCTGATAACTTACCGTATAGCTCCGCAGATAAGACGCCCCTGCAGATAAGACGCACCCCGGATTTTGAGGGGGCAAAAAAAGAAAAAAATAAATACTCGCGTATAAGACGCGGTTTTTGATGGAAAAATGCAAAGGAGAAGAAAGAAATAACAAACAACATTCCTGGGAAAAATCTCTTGATTTCCAAATTTATTTTCTAAAATTTACATGAAAGAGGATCATTGACGGTTTCAGTCGCTCTCCGCCTCGCACTCCGTGTCATACTCATCATCGCTTGACTCGCCGGTAGCCACTGACTCAGCGTCGGAGTCGGAACTGGGATCGGCATCGGCATGCTCCCCTCCTCCAGTCACACTCGGTTGCGCAAGGTCGCTGTCGTCATCACCGGCACCTGCTATTGCACTCGGCTCCTCGTTATCAGCGGCAGCGTGGAGTCGATACTCCTCCTCCCATAACATGTCATCCTCAGTCCCATCCATGGCGTTGCTTATGCAGCATTTCTTAAAAGCTTTCTCGATGAGTGGCTGAGGTATGAGGTTCCATGCTCGTTCAACCCAATTGACGATCGTGAGGAGGGATGGCTTCTTTAGTCGGCCAGAAGCTGTATAATCGTGCACCTCTTTCACCATATAATCGGCCCAAAAGTCTTGTAGGTGTTTCTTAAAGGGCTTATTGACCGAAACATCCAGCGGCTGTAACATCTTAGTCATACCTCCAGGGATGATGACTAGATCGGATTTGTGACCTTTGAGCCGATCTTTGACATTTTCGGTCAGATGCCCTTTGTAACTATCAAGCACAATCATGGAGGGTAGCCTTAAAAGTGCTCCCGGCCTCTTCTCCCAAACTAATTTCACCCACTCCTCAACAAGCTCGTTATGCATCCATCCTTTTTCATTTGCGCGGACAATGACGGTTCTCGGAAAAATGACGTTTTTGGGCAGAGTTTTCGGCTTGAAAATGATGTAGGGGGGAAGCCTACGCCCATCAGCCGTAGCAGCTAACATGACGGTGCAGCGTTGTTTTTCCCCGCCGCTTGTCTTTACGAAGACGCTCTTCGCACCTTTTTTGTCGACAGTCGTACTAGACGGCATGTCAAAGTAGACAGGAGTCTGGTCTGCGTTCCCAATCTGTGATAAGATGTACTTGTTTTCCTTACGCTTCTTAATCACATACTTTTGAAACTCAAGGAGTTTATCCTCAAATTCAGCCGGCAATTTTTGACACATGGTCGTTCGTCGCCTCACACTAAAACCCTGTCGTTTGAAAAAGCGATAAAGCCAACCTCGACTAGCCTTAAACTGTACATCTGGGCATACTTCTCTCTTGAGCCTCATAGCATGAATACGGATCATGGCGCAGGAAATGGAATGACCTTTTGCTCTGTGCTCCAATATATACTCACTTAATTTTTCCTCCAGCTCAACGAATTTGGGGTTTCCCTTGCGAAAAGCTCTTCTCTGGTTATTCGTCTTTTTTAATTGTAGTTTTTGCAATTTCCATTTTCGGATGAGACACTCATTGATTCCTAAACGGTCTGCAGCTTTGCGATTGGATTTGAGTTCCTCGGACAACCGGATGGCTTTTAATTTTTCACCCGCGGTGTGCGGATGCCGTCTATTAACCATGGTTAATTAATAATTCGCATTCACAGCAATAAATACAATCAAAAACCAAAGATCAAAGATCGCGTCGTTTAACCACCGGAAACGTAAACAATGATAAGGGATGATTAGGTAAACAAAGGAATGAAGCCTAATTTGCATAGGTTAATAAAAGAAAGGGAGGGTGTCAACACCTAATGAGGCGTGAAATCACGCCGATTGTTTGAATTAAGACCCGCGGTCATCGTCCCAACCCCACCCCCTACTGTACCCTTTCTCAAAGCAGCAGCGTCGAGTTTGAAAAGAGGGAAAGGCAGAGCCATTGATACGAAAAAAGAATTAAAGCAAAAAGGATCTTTCCTCAAAGGAAGCTCAAATCTTTAAGAAAGGGAGATTAAAATTGCGATAACAGCGGGGATTGAGTGGGCGATTGACATGTCTTCCGCTGCGCCGCGCCAGCGCTGCATGCGGCGCGTGCCGAAAATGCAGTGAGCCATTGACCTTGTCAACAGGTGGCCACTTTCGATTGTTCGATGGCGATGAATCGAAGGAGACGCGGCCTATTTCCTGACGCTTCCCCCCACCATGGGCCAGATTCAATTCTAGCTCTGGTCAGATTGCGAGTCGAAAAAGGTGTTTACGTTCGCGGTTTTGCAAAGAAGGCATGCGTTGGGCAATTTATGCTTTGTTTGCACTCCTTCAAAAGCAAAAAAAGAGTGTCGGTTGGCAGGAATGGGTCACTATCGTTCAGTTAGACTCAGACCAGTGTGTTTATAGAGATAAGAGGATGGTACGCGTTGGGGTTGTGAGATATAGCAAGGAGGGGCCAGGGGTAGGGTGGGACTTATTTTTTTAAATCGACAAAACCAAATGTTGCACGGTCTTAAATGGTTCTATGTGATAAAAAAACACGGTAGCCAAGAGGATTTTGAGAAAAAAAATTTTTAACCCGGCGCGCACAGAGCCTAAACATCGAGATTTTTCCGGTTTTTTTGGCATTTTCGCCGTATATTTTTGATATTTTTGCCAGCAACACAGATTCGACGCTAGATGTCCAAAAATTGGTACAAACCTAGCACATACCTTGCAGATTAAGGGAAAATTTTTGTTTTTCTCCTAGGTCACTCTCAGTTCGCTTGGTAATGCCGAAACTCTCCGCTCGGCAGCTCTAAAAATCGAAATTTCGCCGTTTTTTAACGTATAATGAACTTTTTGAGCAACCTATAATGGTAGTAAAAATCCGAAAATTTGTGGAAAGCGAGTCCATACCATCAGTATGGAAGGGCAAATGTCAGAAAACTCCTACGTCTTTTACTTTCTGCCAAGCTATGCCCATAATGGTGGAAAACTTGTCAAAAATAGCTCAATTTGGACCGTTTTTTCGCGTTCGAAAATTTATTGGACACCCTGTAATGACAATGAAGGTCCGAAAATTTGTGGAAAGTAAGTTCATACCATCTGTATGAAATAAAAAATTTTACTTGGTTCATACGTCTTATATTCTTCGTCCTGCGATACCCGAAATGGCAGCGAAAACGTCAAAAATACCTCAAATTGGCCGTTTTTTGATAATTTTTTGGAACACCTTGTAGTGGCAGTGGAGGTCCGAGAATTTGTGCAAAGTAAGTTCATACCCTCCGCAAGGGATAAAAAAATCTACTGGTTCCTATGTCTTACATTCCTCGTTGTGCGGTGCCCGCAATCACTTCGAAAACGTCAAAAATACCTCAATTCGGCCGTTTCTTCAATGGCGAAATTTATTAGACACCCTGTAATGACACTGGAAGTTCGAAAATTGGGGAAAAGCAAGTCCATACCACCAGTATAAAAGGGCAAATTTCAAAAGGTCCATAGATGTTTGATTCTTGGTCGCACGGTGTCTTCAGATACACAAAAATCGTGAAAAATACCTCCATTTTGACCGGTCTTTCGCTATTAAAATTTAATAGACACCCTGTAACGGCAACAGAGGTCGAAAAATTTGCTGAAAGTAAGATCATTCCATCTTCATGGAATGAAAAATTCTACATCGTTCCTATGGTATGCATTCCTCGTTGTGCGGTGCCCGCAATCGCATCGGAAACGTCAAATATATCTGACTTCGGCCAATTTTTCGCGTGTGAAAGTTTTTTGGCACCTTGTTATGACATCAGCGACTCTTAAAAGTGCCAAGTAAATATACGTTGTTTATACATCTGAAAGGAACGGCAATTTTTCAAAGACCCTTACATTTATAATTGTTGTCGCTAGACGCCCTGAAGTGAGGCGAAATTTTCTAAAATACCTAAATTTATCCATTCCTTTCTTTCAACACTAGCTTCTTACATAGTTTCGGACTTCCGCTGTCAGTACAGGGTGTCTGCAAAAATAATTCGGTAAAAAAAATTGACCGCATTCAGGTATATTTGACGTTTCCGATGCGATTGCATCGGAACAACGGCACACGCACGGCACCGCACAACGAGGAATGCATACCATAGGAACGATGTAGAATTTTTCATTCCATGAAGATGGAATGATCTTACTTTCAGCAAATTTTTCGACCTCTGTTGCCGTTACAGGGTGTCTATTAAATTTTAATAGCGAAAGACCGGTCAAAATGGAGGTATTTTTCACGATTTTTGTGTATCTGAAGACACCGTGCGACCAAGAATCAAACATCTATGGACCTTTTGAAATTTGCCCTTTTATACTGGTGGTATGGACTTGCTTTTCCCCAATTTTCGAACTTCCAGTGTCATTACAGGGTGTCTAATAAATTTCGCCATTGAAGAAACGGCCGAATTGAGGTATTTTTGACGTTTTCGAAGTGATTGCGGGCACCGCACAACGAGGAATGTAAGACATAGGAACCAGTAGATTTTTTTATCCCTTGCGGAGGGTATGAACTTACTTTGCACAAATTCTCGGACCTCCACTGCCACTACAAGGTGTTCCAAAAAATTATCAAAAAACGGCCAATTTGAGGTATTTTTGACGTTTTCGCTGCCATTTCGGGTATCGCAGGACGAAGAATATAAGACGTATGAACCAAGTAAAATTTTTTATTTCATACAGATGGTATGAACTTACTTTCCACAAATTTTCGGACCTTCATTGTCATTACAGGGTGTCCAATAAATTTTCGAACGCGAAAAAACGGTCCAAATTGAGCTATTTTTGACAAGTTTTCCACCATTATGGGCATAGCTTGGCAGAAAGTAAAAGACGTAGGAGTTTTCTGACATTTGCCCTTCCATACTGATGGTATGGACTCGCTTTCCACAAATTTTCGGATTTTTACTACCATTATAGGTTGCTCAAAAAGTTCATTATACGTTAAAAAACGGCGAAATTTCGATTTTTAGAGCTGCCGAGCGGAGAGTTTCGGCATTACCAAGCGAACTGAGAGTGACCTAGGAGAAAAACAAAAATTTTCCCTTAATCTGCAAGGTATGTGCTAGGTTTGTACCAATTTTTGGACATCTAGCGTCGAATCTGTGTTGCTGGCAAAAATATCAAAAATATACGGCGAAAATGCCAAAAAAACCGGAAAAATCTCGATGTTTAGGCTCTGTGCGCGCCGGGTTAAAAATTTTTTTTCTCAAAATCCTCTTGGCTACCGTGTTTTTTTATCACATAGAACCATTTAAGACCGTGCAACATTTGGTTTTGTCGATTTAAAAAAATAAGTCCCACCCTAGCCAGGGGGAACGATTATCTGCTTAGGCGCGCCTGTGAGGTATGCAATTTGCACGAGTTTCGCGTATAAGACGCACCCCCGATTTTGGGCGCTTAAAATGGGGAAAAAAGTGCGTCTTATCTGCGGAGCTATACGGTAATTTGAAGGTTTTGTTACTAAAATCCCTTCGTTCCTGACTTGTCAAGAGTAAATAAGAAACACTTAAACTTACGTGTGACAGTTGTTCTTCAATCTTCAATGTGACAACGCAACTAGGATTCTTATAAATTGTAGAGATCAATTTTCGGCATTTTGATATGGTGGGATAAACTTCTGGAGACAGGAAACAGCAGCTTGTACAAATATCCTGTATTGAATATAAACACAATTTTAGAGGAAATTTCATAGTCTTATTATCAGACATCTTAGAGAGCAAGCAAAAATTGTATACAACTAGATACGGCTCTCCACACTCACAGATAAGAGTCAATCATTAGATGCTACCTAAAAGGTGATTTCTTTTCACTAAAATATACTTATTTGGAGCATTATTCAGGAGCAAAGTGATGAAGTTTCGATGACCATGTAGTTACAGCACTTAAGTTGGTAACCGAAGCCAGCATAGCGATCTGTCAAAGGGAATTAGATCTAATTCCTTTGTTGGCTCTTTATGGCAACTTGCAATATATCGACGGACTTGCGAGCCTTCAATGCCATTCTTTCAGACCAAATCTCAGTTGTAATGAACCAGAGGTGCAAAAGTTTTCTTGGTGCCGCCTGATTCTGGCAATATAGCTTACCCTCTTATTTTCAGCACTTCTTCTCAAAGGCTGCAAATTTGCTGTGAACTTCAAAATTAACCTTGTTGCGATCCACCATTTTTGGGCCTTTAAAATGAGCTCATCAAAGTCAATTGGATTACATTTTGCAAAAAGGAACCAAGACCATTCAAATGTCCCCAGGATGGTGCAACTTTTTTTACCTTGCAAATATAAACTAATCATCTAAACAAGTTTTGTCTTTACTCCCAAAGAAACTATGAATTCAAGGCGAAAATCATCGATGTACATTTAATTTTTTGTAGGACTTCAGTCATTTTATTGCAAAGTATGTAAGTTGCACAATCTCGCAACAATGGAATGTTCCTGGTTCTTTTGCAAAATGCAATCCACTTGTACCCTTGGACGCTTTTAGCAAAGGCTGCTAATTTTTAGATCAATCAATACTCTTTTTTCCAAAGAGCACTATTCTGGAACTTCATTTTGAAATGACTTACAATGAAACAAATATTGAGAGCGTTTTGAATATATTCAGCAAAAAAATCAAACGAATTTCCTACCTGAAGAGTGGCTACAAGACAGGGAATAATGATGATATTTTTCTGTTGTATTGCAACCAGCAGAGGTCCAATTTTGACGGCCGAAATGCATGCAATAATGCGTTCGATCGGGATTTTCCATTCTTTGCAAATAGCGTTGAGTGTGTTGGTCCAGAATGTAGAGTCCGCATGTGGAGGGCTGGGAATAGAGGTCAAAGTCTTGAGGGCGTACGCATCTTCATCACTCTGGAAAAATGAAATTGAGATCAGTCAAATACTTCATTTAGGCACATCAACTTATCAGTAATAATTACAAAATTTTAAACAGCACCAAACTCCATTAAAAAACTGCCTGTGAAATCTGAGAAAAATATTCCAAATGTGTCGTCAAGGCGCATTCACTTGGCTTGCTGAGCTGTTCATCAGGGCACCTGAGGTGCAGCTTGACAAGCCTTTTGCCAAACCATGGACCAAGATGATACATTTCCGGAGAGATTTTTCTTCAATTTTTTTAAGAGAATATAAACACTTTATCCCTTGGTCCATGGCCAAACGTACTCTACAGAGATGATTAGAGTGCTACGGTGGAGGGTTCATCGAGTGCCCTGTCAAGCGGCACATCAGGCCACCTGACAAGCAGCTGGGCAAGTTAAACGTATGTGCCTTCAGAGATGAAGTCTGATCAGTCCTTAATGAGAGTGGTTTGTGGAATTTCACTTTACACCTTCAAAGGACATGGCCTGGCTCTGCATTTAATTTTGTCTAACAACCTGAATATGAGGTTTTGGTTGGTTTGCTTCATAAGGAAAAAGAAAATTGGAGAAAAATCATGATCAGTTCAGAATTCAACTTGAAATACCTGGTTCATTTTTGTGAATTGAAAAAAAACGAAATGAAATCAAAGAAAGGGACCCAGCTGCAGTTGGTTGATGAATTTTTTTGGACTGAATTTAAATTGAAAGAGGATCTAAGAGCTTTTTGATTAACATCTAACTCTCATTGAAATTCTACTAATCTAGCTCACAAACAGAATTTTTTTAATAAATTAAAAAAAAAAGAAAAAAAAGGGCTTGCACCCCACTTGCCAAAGACAACCTAAATTAGATGCCTAAATATAAAATTGTATTGCTTCGTGCCTTTTTTTCAACTTGTTACAGACCTCTGTACTACAAATCCAAAAACTATACGGCAGGTATAATGTTGAAAAATTAAACAGAGAAGTGAATGATTACCGTTAAGAAGTGTATGGCAAAAGTGACAAAGGTTTCTCCATTGAGTGAGTGCCATTGCTCAAGTGATAAACCAAAATGTCCAGGGCAGTTTTCGATACTAGTGATGACATTTTGCTTGTACGTATCAAACATTTTCGGTATGATATCTTGAACGATTTTTGCTTTCGAGGGGATCTCACAGGGGGACTGGAGAGTGGCAATGAGCCGTTGAAAACCTTTCCCCTCAACAACGTCTGGCTGCTGCAAGTCCATGATCACAAAGTCAGCAATAGCATCTGAGATGTTGGTGCTATTCAAGCGGATCAGCTGCAATAATCAGAATTGAAATAAGATTTGATTGGTGAATGGAGCAGAATTCTAATACAGAGTCAGAGGCAATAGGAGTCAAAACACTGGACATCTTTTGTAGAGAACTTGCTTTATGTCCAAGAAAGAGGTCAATAATTACTCATTTGCTACTGTCATTTGGTGAGCAAAATTATGCTTAAACATTTTTCCAGGTTGACTTGTCTTGAATTTTTATGATTTGTTGCAAATAAATATTGGTAGCTGAAGTAACAAAATATATTTCTCATATTGCAACCTTGTATGTCTCTGCTGTGTTTGTTTTCTTTCAAAATTACTTTTTATTATTCTGACTTGACACTACAAAGTTTCCTTTCTTTTAGCACTCTCTAACGGAAAAAGGCTACATATGGGTCTGAAATAAAAATTTAACATTGGTTAGAAACGAATCTACTAAAAAAGAAATCAGTCACGGACAATGAGAACAGAAGTGAAACCAGTGAATTTCTTAGTAAATGCATACTATTATGAAATTTTTTGCAGATTAGGATAAAATTCAAATTGTAGGTAAAGATTTCTTTTTTGTACATTAAGTTTCAGGTCAAAATTCAAATAATAAATTACCTCGCTTACTTCATCATGTCCTTCGTCAAAGTGCTCAAACTCGTTGCTGACATTCACTCCGTTGGCCAAAAACTGTATATCATTGCCCATTGGATTGTCGACATCAGCAGCATAGATGTAATGCTCCGAGCTTTTGTTTTTCTTTTGCGGTACCTGGAGCATTGACTTGGGTTTTAAAACCTTCGGCGGGCACTCAATTTCCAACTGCACAAGCTCATCTTTGTGCTTGTTCTGAAGGTGCATACGCAAGTTACTTGTATTGCGATTGTAGGATATCTGCGTTTTACACAAAATGCAGATGATCTTCAATTTTGAGAGAATAAGACCGTCATCAGTGGCTGGAAAACCGAAGTACTTCCAGTAGGCACTTCTCATAGACGAAGGAACAACCAACTTCTTGTACGTGAAACCGATGGTTCCATCATTTGTTTTGCTGAGGAGGGTTGCTTGGGCAATCGAGTTGGGGTGAGTTATTTTTGTGAGCAGTTGTTTGGTCTTCTTCCCATGTCCTGGAATGTATAAAAACAAGCTTAAATTAGAAGCATTCAGACATAAGTTGTTCATCAGAAAAAAATCTTATTTCATTGATGAACTAAAACCAGCAACCCATGTGCACAGTTCTCTTGCTGAGAGAAAACTAGGTAGATTGACATTCATATAAATGATGGAATAACTATAAAACTGAGCCTTAAACTTTAAGTACTGCCTAACATTTTAATTTCCAAACTTGTTAAGTTGTATTTACCTATTAAATTTAGTAATATTAGTAATACTAGTTATACCTGTGGAAACTTTGGATTTTTCATGACCATATGACAACATTGAGATACGCCTATGATAGGTGGTAGGATAGGTTCACCTGTGATTGATAGGTGTAATATCTACAAAACAAATAAGGAGGCCCAAAAAGTTCACTGACTAAGATTGCTTAAAGTTCTCTATACTTCAGAAAATGACTGATTCACAGCGGAGCTTACTCTGATATTTTTTGTTTACATTCTCAAATGTAAACAAACTTTCCAAACTTTAATACTGTTAGCCAAGGAGCTACAGAGCTGAGAGAAACAAAAGGGACAGATGTATTAATGTCTTAAAAGAGTTCAATAGAGACAAAAACTGAAGAAATTTATCAATAAAATGTGTAAACAAAGAGAAATTGCAAGTGAGCATTAACATTTGGGGTTGGGGCAAATCATCATGCATCATAAGCGAAATACAGGATTGTGCAAGGGCGACAGTTTTAATGTGTGGCAGCTGTTAATCCGTCAAGATAGCTTTCAGTGATGAGAAGCATTATTTGATCTTGATGCCAATAATGGGTTGACTGAGGTTATGCATAGCTAGTAGGGCGCAGACTGGCAGGTGGATTGTCGAGGGTTGTTAAAGGGACAAATCTGCCTTTAAATGGCAGCAAGGTTAGGTCCTGCTGGAAAGCAGATGAATAATGAAGAACCTTACAAAATGAATGCAAGGGTACTCCCAGGGTAAGAATACGTCTGAAAATGCTTTGGCACATGAGGCCACTGCTGAGACATGTACAAATAGAGGCTATAAATTATGTGTAGACTTCGACTTACCAGGGGTTTGGTGTTGGTGGACCAGAGAAGTAGAAGGACCTGACTTGTATTGAACTGACGAGGTGCCTAAAATGCTTTCCTTCAAACTTTTATCCATCGCGGATGGCTACCACTCTCGCTTGGTTTCGGATTTTACCGCGATAGAAAATTACCCGGTTGATAGGTATTCCAATCAAATATCGACTTTCTTTCAAGCACAAATACTTGCAGTTCCCGACAATCGCACAAGACACATATAGATAGATATCGACTACAAATACGATCGATTAGGTGACGAACTCCCTCTTTGCGTAGGAGCGATTACAAGCGTCGTTCCAAAAACTCGATAAAGCAATCTCTTGATTTCTCCGAGAGATCGCGTTGGAGTCGACATGTCGAAGCAGCGCCCGCTAGAGTCCCTTTATACTGAGAGTCAAGACAATTCGAATCCATTTCTGATTGGTTCCCGTATTTTAGGCCTCCACAGTGTCACAAACGGGAATAAAGATTACATTTTCACCAATTGCAAAGATTATAATCTGGAATGGACCAGGGAATTACGGGTTCGGCAAGGAACAAACGGAATGAGAGGAGGAACGGAGAAAGGCATTTGAGAATGGGCCGATCAAAGATTACGAAAAACGTTCAATTTCTGTAATCTTTATTCCCGTTTGTGACATCCATGAGCCGAATTGTCTTGACTCTCAGTATAAAGGGACTCTAGCGCCCGCGTGCGCAGATTTCTGCGCATGTGAATAGCGCTTACGGATGGTCGTTCCATAGCTGGGTCATGTCTAGCGTTAAGCAGTATCTGCGCCTTCCTGGATTCTGTTGCTCATTGGTTCGTTAGCCAAAGAATGTATGCCAATCAGAGCTCTGTTAATGTAATGACGTATCTATTTTTTTTAATAAGCTCTCATATTCCTACTTTTATACATATTTTAGGGTTCTTATCACAACAAAATAAAGCTCTTGTGTGAAGGGAGTGACATTATTTGAATCGGCTCGTGCGAAAACCGCTAATGTCCATTTTTTTCAATTTTGAGATTTGGGTTAAAATACCCTCGGAGGTCAGACACACTCATTTATATGGTGAAAATGTTTGTTCTTTATATTTGAACTCCTTTACAGGTAGGGCCTTGGTCCAAGTCATGCAAAAACCGCTAATGTCCATATTTCGCTATTTACTTAGATATGCCTCGTATCACTGCATACCAAACCAAAATGAAAGACTATCTCTTAGACGACATAATGTGATCTTTGTGCATTTTGAGGCGCTAAATCCGAATATGACCACCACTCTTTCCGATTTTCTGATACAGCCGATTTTACTGGGAAAAATGGACATTTATGGGCATATTGGGTGTTTTTCCAACTGTTACCCCCTGCTGAATGTAGGTAAAATTTCCTTCAGCTACGAGATACTATGTTGCCGATGTCTTTTTAACTGCCTGAGTCCGAAAATGACCTTAATTGTTCCCGTTCACCTCTCAGTTTCCCGGAAAAGCGACTTTTTCCCGGGAAAATGAGCAAATTTGACGTACATTTTTCGTGCATGCAATTTATTTTTACACATTTTCTTGGACCAGTGGTTGTGTGTTTCTTATGTATTTTGAACTGCTGAATCCAAATAGGTATGACATTTTGGTGTTTATCTATCAACCCCCAGTTTTCCGGTAAAGCCGATTTTTCCGAGCCAAAAATTGTGTATCGTAAAAGCTTTTCCGGATTCAAAGTGTATTCAAAATACATCCAACACAACACACCTATACATACAACAAGACAATTTTCCTGGAAAATTAAGTTTTCGTAAAAAGAGTGGTCAATAACGGATTTCTATAAGGTCATATTTGGGTTTTGCAACTCAAATTACATCAGAATCGATGTATCACACATAATGGTGAAAATGTTTTGAATTTTTCTGAAAGTGGGAACAGTCAGGGAAACATGTTGGCCCGGAAAAATCGGACCCTCTAGGAAACGGGAGGTTGTCAAAAATGAGTGAAGGCTAAATTCGAGTTCAGTGCCTCTTAATACAGCAAGAGGGACCTAAAAAGGATCTCGGAAAATTTCTTAAACTCCTAGAACAGGACAATCATCGCAAAAATAGGTACCTGAAAAGAGCGTTATCCTAGGAAAAGCGACTTTTCCGGGAAAAAGGTGGGTGATCGGAAAAATCTGAGATCAAATTTGAATTTTGACTGTTCAAAATACAAAGAAATCGATGTATCACATATCGGGGACATTTAAAAAAAATATTTTGAATATACACTTTGAGTCCAGAAAAGCTTTTACGATACACAAATTTAGGCTCGGAAAAATCGGCTTTACCGAATAAATGAAGGGTGATAGAAAAACACCAATGACATAATATACGGATTTAGCAGTTCAAAATACATAGGTTTCACATCCCACCACGGGTCCAGGAAAATTTATAAAAATAAATTACATGCACGACAAATATACATACGTCAAATCCGCTCATTTTCCCAGGGAAAAGTAGCTTTTCCAGAAAACTGAGAGGTGAACGGGAAAAATTAAGGTCATTTTCGGACTCAACAGTTTCAAAGAGTGTTAATAAAATTTCATGAAATTTTATTGTGAAAATTCATTTTAGAATCTTTCATGAAATTTCGCAACTCAGCAGAAAATGGACAATAGCAGTAAGCGGTTTTCGCATGAGCCGATTCGTTGAAATCTCATGATTGCCTCTACAGCCGGGTTAATGTGTTGAACTAATCCACAATTCCACAGGAAGGCTAAGACAGCAAAAGACTGGCAAAAGACTTTTCCTCGTGGTATCTCACCAATATAAGGAAAGATGAGGGTGGACTCTCGCTAACATTGAAGATTTTTTGGGGGCCAGATTTGAATTAGAGTCCCTTTATACTGAGAGTCAAGACAATTCGAATCCATTTCTGATTGGTTCCCGTATTTTAGGCCTCCACAGTGTCACAAACGGGAATAAAGATTACATTTTCACCAATTGCAAAGATTATAATCTGGAATGGACCAGGGAATTACGGGTTCGGCAAGGAACAAACGGAATGAGAGGAGGAACGGAGAAAGGCATTTGAGAATGGGCCGATCAAAGATTACGAAAAACGTTCAATTTCTGTAATCTTTATTCCCGTTTGTGACATCCATGAGCCGAATTGTCTTGACTCTCAGTATAAAGGGACTCTAATTTGAATCAGTGAGATCGAAAACGCACCAACTCGGTAACTCGAAATTTTCAATCTGTTTTCTTTAAAATGTGAGATATTAGGAGAGCTAAGCGCAAGTTCAGATTTTGAAAAAAAAATAAATAAATAAACCAAAAGGAAAAAAAAGGTTTAAAGATAGTCGAATTGGATGCTCTAATGAAGCTATAGTCGCAGTGTGACACTTTTTACAGGTGAACATCAAAGCATCATTTTTAAGCTGCATAATTTATGGTCAAAATTCATTTCGACCATTTGGTGCCATGAAATTTAGAAACTCAGACTTATTTTTCTCAAACGAATAAAAGCTGCTTCTCTGCACTCTGACCACCAAGGATCCTTAAAAAACTTGAATCCCTTTATTTCAGTGGAAAAACACTTTGAGAATAAGAATACGCTAGAATATGGGTGGAAAATAAGCATTAAGTACGTTTCTCCATTAAATATTGATGATGTCTGAAGATGCCTCCCCCCAAATCCCCCGATTATTTGAAAGATGATTAGCTGGTCTCTAATTTTTTGGCTGGCAGCACATACTATAGTGCATAATTATCATTTTCAATGCTGCTCTTATAACCCCGGATCTCTTTGGCTCATCTAATGTATTGCCGAATCGCCCTCTTAGAGGTCGGTGGGACCTTTTTGGAAGTAAGTCCGAGAAAGAGGCCCATCATTTCTTGTTTCATATATATGTATCTTGCGAGTGTTTCACGCCAATATTCATAAAGTTTGGTGTGTTGAATTTTTTTTAAATCGCATTTATAACTCCAGATCTCTTGGCTCATTTAATGTATTGCCATTTGTCATTTATTATGTGTATAAATTATAAAAATTAAATAAATGTTACCTTCCCCACCGCGGTCTAATAATTGTTGGGCTATTATCAAATGTCGAACTCGAGGCATGGGCTTGCAAGGGCTGACAAGGTGTGACCGTGTGACATGTCGTCACCTTCCAGGCAAAGTATCACAAGCGCCATGCGACGTTTAAAAATTTCCGCCGCCGTTATATTTTTTTACAGAGAAATTGTACAACAAAGCTGTCCGAAAATTTCACTGAATTTTCTTTGTGCTGCCGATAAAATTTAGTGAAATTTCCAAACAGATTCAACCAACAATTTCTCAGTAAAGAAATAAAATGGCGGCGGAAATTTTTAAACGTCGCATGGCGCTTGTGATACTTTGCCTGGAAGGTGACGATGTGCTGGCATGGGCTCGCAAGGGGTGGCAAGGTTTGGCGCGTTTCAGGGTGCGTTTAATGCTTTAAATGGAAGGCGATACGGCAACACTGCATGAGGCTCTCTTGCGCTCCTAGTGGCGTCCCGCTAAGACCTAAGACTTCACAGGTTTGAGGTTAAGTTGATTCGAGTCGGTTTCGTGCAATGAAAATTACTTTTTCCAGTCGGTACTCATTCACTAACTTTACATTTGTTTCACCAACGACTTCATCGTATACGATCTACTTACTTGCAGGAGTCATTCCAAAAAGTATACAAGGAGGCCAATTTCCATCTTATCCACAGAATCGTCAAGGAATCACAAGCCTATGACCGATGTGAATCAATTTTGGACACTGTTGTTTGAATACATATTCAGAGCATAGATTTCAGTGATTTTCTTTCTTATGGAATAAGTGTGAACTATTTTTTGTGTGTTTAAATGTTCAAAAAGCCGAAGCGTAACTTCCGTGCCAGGGATTTTCAAGGTGATGACAATGAAGAAGGAGACGATAAGGTTGAAACAGATCCTCCCGCTCAGAAGTTACAAGTGCCAAAAAAAGCAGCGAAAGAGAAGAAAGCTGAAACTGTGAAGCAGTCTATGCTAAGTTTCGGTGAAGATTGGGATGAAGGTGAGTTTGAAAGTGATGATCATTTTATGGATGTAATATAAAACCTATGGCAAAAATTTACCAGCCCTCAAAGCGGACTCATCGTATGTTGAGACAAAAGTCAAGTATTGTATAGGTCACCACTGATCAGTGGTGTCATCTGGCTGCATGTATTATCCTGTTGAGTGGTGCTGATTTGAAAGGAATCAGAGATTGACATTCGTCTCAACATACGATGAGCAAGGATGGCGATTTTTAATAGATTTTTTTGCGCCGAAAAATCAGTCAAATCAATTTTTTGGATCCAATTTCCAAAGGCAATCGATTTTCGAGCCGAAATTGAATCGAAAAATTGAAATTTCCTCCTTTGATTGGATTCTTGCTTCCCTCAAGTTTGTAGCTCTCTCCGCTGATCCGCTCGGCACTCTCCCCTCCACCTTGCAAATCTACATCAACACTTTGAAAATCACCACAAGGCCTTATACCAAACCCTATATGTTAAACCTGAGCTCCATTCATTGATTATTATACTTGTGTTTTTGGCTGTTTTGAAATTAATTGTTTGTATTCGATGTTAAAATTAAATCGATTTTTTATTGAAAATCAAATCGATTTCCGGAAACCGATTTATTCGAAAAATCGCCATCCCTAAGGATGAGTCATGAGTCCGCTCTAGTAGGTATCTGCAACTGAGTTTAGGCATGGATTCTTATTGATTTCCAGTCAACCTTTATGGTCATTTTGAGTATCATGTTCACATTTCACGTCTGCTCTTACATATTTTGTTATGGTAAATCCAACAAATGAGCCATCAGTTCAACAACGTAGTACTAGAACGCATTCATCACCTTTTGGAAGTCTGCTCCTGATTATTTCTGAATCAGCACCACTCGATAGATTGTTGCACACTTTCAGGTAGCACCCGGATGAGTGCTGTCCTCAAACAAATTTTGACTCTCATCGCAACTTATCAATGAACTAGCGCCGGAGTACAGCTGGAATTTACTGTTGTGCTCAATTTTGCTTCAAGTACTGATGTACTTGCAAATGAGGTACATAGCTCTAAGAATTTTTAAAGTCTTAGAGGAAGTTAGGACCTAATTATTTTCTCAAAAAATGTAAACATTGATTTTTTTAAAAGAAAAATAAAATTATTTTGTCTCCAAAATTTTATCCCTCAAAATATTTTCCTTCACGAAGTACTCCTTGAAAATATTTTATCATGATTATTATTATTTTTTTTTTTTTTTTTTTTTTCAAATCTGCATAAGCCATTTTTGTAAGAAAATCAAAACTCAGATGTTATGTACTCCTTCCTGCTCAGGTTTTTTGAGTCCATCTCTCTCCAGTAATGATATATTTTATTACTCTCAATTGATTTTTATACTGACTTTGACTGTTCACAGGAGACGATGGAGAAGTCTTTAAGGTAAAGAAATCTGCGCAGAGCAAGAAGATTAAAAAGCAAATGACCCTGGAAAAGAAGAAGAAAAAAGAACCAAAACCTGAAATCAAGGAGACCAAACCTGCGGAAAAAGTCATAACTGTGAATGATGCTGTCACAATCAAAATAAAAAACCCCATTGTAAGTATTGTCAGACAGAACTGCTGTAATTTTTTCCTTTTCCATTTTTTTCCAAAAAGACCTCCAATTATAATTATGCATTTTAAAGCTTTTAGAGCTTATATATGTTTTTGAATAAGTAATCCATCTTTTTTTTATTTATTGTACATTTTATTACCGTTATACGAGGTCTGTTAGATGAGAAACGGGATTTTGGCGTTAACTAGCCCATCATTCGTCCAAATTAAGTTTAAACCTCTCAAAACACTGAGAACAACTCATATAATGATCTTGGTAAACTTTACTTAGCATACCAAAAGTTTCGATACAAGGTATACCGAGTTCAAAACAAAATTCAATGATAAATCTTTGCTCTATCAGTAATTGCATGATGAAAATTGCAGAATGCACCTGATTTACTCGTATTCAAGGTGACACAGAATAAACACTGATCTAAGTGAACTAAATCTGTGAATCTAGCGTTCTTTAGTATATTATCAGCTATCAGAAAAGTCCAAGGAAACCTAAATCTGTTGCACAATGGGCTAGTTATCATCAAAATCCGGTTTCTTATCTAACAGACCTCGTACTTACAGTAATTATCTTACTTTATTAAATTTCAGGCTGGTCCAGTGCCTGGCAAAATCTTAAATGGGCGGGAAGCTGAAGTTGCGAATTATGAAGGCAGCGAGTCCGATGAAGAGGATGGACCAAACTCCCATAAATTTTCTCATCCAGATCATGTCAAATTCCTTCTCAAAAGTAAGTAAATGTTCCCATGTAAATTTTTTAACAAAATGCTAAGTTGCCACCTTCCGGCCACAGAATCACAAGCGCTGTGCGACGTTTACAAATTTCTGCCGCCATTTTATTTTCTTACAGAGAAATTTTTCAACAAAGCTATCCGAAAATTTCATTGAATTTTCTTTGTGCTGCCGATAAAATTCAGTGAAATTTCAAAACAGATTCAACCAACGATTTCTCTGTAAAAAAATAAAATGGCGACGGAAATTTTTAAATGTCGCATGGGGCTTGTGATACTTTGGACGGAAGGTGACAAAGTAAACTCCTATGTGATGATAACTATAAAATTTTATCAGATAAACTGGTGCACCCTGCTGAATAAATTATTTTTTAAATTATTATTATCTCATAAACTTGGCATAATAAGTCTACTCTGTATCCTTGTCATAAGTCGTCAGGTAATATTTTTATGAGCTAATGAAAAATTCAATCACTACCACTATTGAATATTCTGTAGAATAAGAGCATTTCAAGATTATTCAAGGAGTAAGGTCAAGAGCAAGGAGCCAAGAGTGCAGTCAGGGAAAACCGGGAAATGCCAGGGAAAATGGATTGCATATTGCTAAAAGGAACCACTAGCATTGCAATGTTGCTAAGATTGTGCAACTTCTTTTGTCTAGGAAGAAAACCTTGATTATCCCTTAATAGTTTCTATTTAACTCGCTAAAAACTGTAAATTTAAGACAAAAATTACCATCTAAATTTCATAGTTTTTCACAATTTCCGCAATTTTATTGCAAAGGATGAAGTTGCACAATCTTAGCATCATTGCAATGCTAGTGGTTCCTTTTTGCAAAATGCAATCCAAATGACAAAAGTGTCATTTGATAAAAGGGAAGTGACAAAGGAAAAATTTTTTTAGTCATCTTTATTTGCTTTCTAGAATATACTCGACATTTTGAATTAAAAATTTTACCCAAAAACTATTTCAAATCATGTCTTCTTAACCATCTGACTTATCTTCAACTGTCTGGATATTTTACCAAAATGTGACAGAGAAATCGAGGATGTTCCAAAGATTTTCATTTTCTAAATTCCGTGGCGACCCTGTATTTGGTCTCTAAGTAGTTTTTGATAGATCCATCAGTACAAATACTTTAATCCTCTATCCTTCTTTGTTGTAACACTCTCTTTTAATTTCATCAGGTGGTCATATACCAGATGCCAACCTCATCCATGAAGCAAGGAAAAGACGCCAAAAAGCAAGAGAAATGGGCGATTTCATTCCCCTTGAAGAAAGTGCCAAGTAAGGAAAAATTTTACTATTTTTTACTCTTTAAGGGGTCTTTTAATTTTTGAAGACGTTCAATCTTCTCTGAACAGTATGACTGAAGAGAATGAGGTACAAGAATGCAAATACAGGCCTTTAAACAATTGTGTTCTTCATACGGTGACATCTAGACATTTCAGTAGCCAACTGGTAGGAGAATTTTATCAGTCATTAGTATCTCTAAGCCACAGGCAAGGTTTACTGAATGGAAGAAAAAGAATGAGAGCTTTATTTTATTAGTACGTCAAGTATAATATATTGTAGAAGAGTTTTGGCGCGTATACGTAGTATACCGCCTTTGCGATCGTTTCGACCCCCCACTCGATGCAATAACCGAGTCCCTCAGTTCCTTACCGAGAAGTGACTACTGCAAACTTCTGAGATTTTCCAAAACGTGTAAAAAGTTTATTTATCCATCAATAATTATGATTTAAAGTTGTTTCTCATTCTGGGGCTTTCTAGTTTATGTGCAGTGAATACCAAGAGTCTACGTTACTTGGTTTTTTTAAAAAAACCTAAGAATGCTCAGCGCTGATTTAAATGAGTAGAATAGAAGAGAAGTTACAGTATTCGAAATCGGAAGAAATCAACAAAACCTCGAATTCTCCAAACAAAAAATAAAATGAAGGGGAAAAAAAGAAATGTATAAATTACAATTATATAAAATTGACCTCAGAATTTGACAAGCAATTCCATTATATAACGGAGAAAAAATTGGGAGTAATTACAAAAAATTCGCCTCTTGCAAGAAGCTTCCTTGTAAGAATTTTGACCTGAAGACAAGGGTCGAATAGCAACAGTACTCCATACAATACACAGTGTTCCTCAACAAGTTAAACATGCTTTATATATCCAAATCGAAAATTTTTTATATTTTTAACTACATTGTCTCTTGAGTTGTTTAAGCCAAAAAAAGAATCCGTCGAGATTCGGGAACGTAAAGGCGCTTTAAAAGTATTCTGGGGCTATAATAACTAAATCACCGGTAGTAAATCCCGTTATATTATTAAAAAGAAATTGACTCCATAGTTTAATGCCTTAGTTTCTTAAATACGATTATTTTCAGCACTCAAATATTTATTCCACCAGTTTTAGCCATGAGGTGATTTCCTGAGAGCCGATGATATCACGAATTTCTCATAGAACCCTTCAAAAATGGCTTGCTTTTTGGGCAGCTGAATCAGCGATCGAACCGGGGTTTAAAGGGAAGCTGATAATAACACAAACCTCTGAGAAAAAATTTGAGGTAGACATGGATTCTGTTCAGCATATCGATGCATAAGCATTCTCACATGTAGAATCTAATTTTCACGTCAGGGAGTGGACATATTTTGATTTTTTCGATTTCATACGGAAAATTTATGGTTCTTCGGGATTGATGTTACTTGTAATTGTTTCTTGAAAAATAAAGGCACCCAAAATGACTATTGCATATTGACTTTTACATTTGTGCACTCACGAAATTGATTCGTAAATTCAACGAGTGGGTACATCGACCTGGTATATCAAGTTTCTGCGATGTTTTACAGCAAATTGGTAGATTTTCAGAATGTAGATTTCTTACTTTCAATTCATGAATGAATAAAGCATAGACATGGTTGAACTTCTTTCCATGGAAAGACGTTTAAAGTAACAAAATCTAGACATATTTAAAGCCATTGCATTTATATCGAGTCAATTTCTTTTCAATAATATAACTGGATTTATACTACCGGTGATTTGGGTATTTTAGCCCCAAAATACCTTTAAATCGACTTTATCTTCTAGGAGTTCGACAGAATTTTTCCTTTCTTTGCTTAAATTATTCTGCAGCACTTTTCTTCAAGAATCTGATAAGATTTTGCTTCAGGCAAATCAAAAAACTTAAATTCGTTTAAATAGCTTTCTACATTCACAATACACAGTCTCGTCAAAGTGCTTCGTTGAAGTGTTGGATAATATGAATTCTCTTGTTGTGCTACTTGCCTATTTTGAAATCTCTGTAAATGAAAACTAAAAGCGTTGATATGTGCGAGTTAATGACGCGCCTTATCAACACATTGTGTTGGAGTTCACTGCTTGTTTTTTTTTCCCCCAGTCCTGTGGGTCCAGTTTAATTTTTTCTTCAAATTCCTAGTGCAATCAAATGAGTCATTTTGATTTAGTGCAATAGTGAAGTGCAGTGCTTTGACATGGAAAGAAATTCTGATTGCCAAGTCACACTTCTAAGATTTGTGTGCCACTACATTTAATGGCAGCTTCGTCGCTCTGACGTATATGTCGACATTGAAATCGCAGGGATGCATACCTCAGTTTACACCATGTAGACTTCCTTTCATACTTTACTTATTTTACAATTAGAAAGCCTCTGAACATCATTCCTTTGGAACTTCGGCGATTATTTTATCCTCTGGAAAATATTTTATGAAAATTTCAAGCTATGATGTTGGTTTGTTCTTCTGATATCAAATAAGCTAAGTGTTTGAATTTTGAAACTATGGAAATGAGTTATTCGTTTTTGCAGCACTGTCAATACTTTCCTTATAGTATGCATGTGAAAAACAATTTTTAAAAACTAGTTTACTACTAATTAGTCTGTTATAAGTACCTCCCTTTTTTCTCTCTTTCTATTTTTTCTTTTGAGAAAAAGGTTCACCCCTAAAGATCTCTAATTTGTTTAATTGTCTCTCCAATTTTAGAACCGAGTCAACTGAAGACAAATCCAGATTGATTCGGGAAGATGCAGAAGACAGTGAAGAAGAAGAGCGTATCAACATGGCTGGCATCAGATCACAAAAACTGGATAAGCAAGAGAGGAGAGAAGCATTTGACGCAGCTCAGCAATCAGGTCAGTTTATAGACGCTTCAGCTGCTAAGCAGAGGTGCAGGAAGTTCTTAGCCCTCCCAGTTTTCAAACAGGCCTTTGCACTTCAAAAATCCACAAGTTCCAAAATTTTAAAAATCATCACCTCTTTTCGTCTGTAATTCACTAATTGCCGCAATTTTGCTAAAACCATGCAAATGGTACCGCAATTTCACGAAAAACATGTAAATTTCACTGCAATTTCTTGCGAGCTTGCTTTCCCAATTTTTACAACCTTCCCATATTTCACGATTGCAGGATCAGAAAAGTTCTGCATCCCTCCTGCTAAGGTAATCTGTATATGAAGTATCACCTTGTGTAGTTAAAGTAAAGAAAGATCTACCCTGCTGTGATAGCAAAGAGAGCAGTAAGTGCAAAAATGAAGTCTTGAGAAAACGGGCTCAGAAGCTTCTGACCGGAAAACTTCATTGAAAGAAGCCTCTATCCTTTGTCAAATTGCCGCTAATCATCCAGGAGACCCCTAGAATTAGTTCGGATGATTAAAAATCTACTGATTTTATTTGAAGTACATAAAAAGTGCCTTTTTCATTTTCATGCTATGTTATTATTAAGCAAGACAGCTGTAAGCACTATCTTCTGCATGTCTTTGTGGTTACACTTTGGACACACAACAAACACATACTTTGAACTGGCACTTTACTTTGAAGCACTGTTTTCATTGGCTCTCTGGAGGAATATCGTCACTTACTGCTGTCTTACCTGAAACTACGTCATTTGTTGCGCACTTACAGCTTTCTCATATGTCTCGTTTTGATACAATTAAGATGAATTTTGCTGTTTTAGCTATTTCAGTGATTTCATCTAAAAGAGATAAGACGAATTTTGAAGAATACTCGATTTCGAAAATTTGACACTTACTGCTCTCTTCGCTATGACGGCAGCACCGTTTAAAAAATCTTGATTGAAATCGCCTTTATCTATCTGAGGATTTAATTTTTAGACTTTTTATCATGAGTTTAGTTTTTTGCATGAAATTTTCACAAACAGAACTTTAAACAAATGTTTTAGTTAAACAGTTTTCTACTAATCCATTGCATCAAGTTCTAATTTTCATGCCAACAATGGAAAGTCCAGGGCATTGAATAATTTTGTTGGGTTTCTGTGGAAATTTCTGCACCTTCTACTAAGTCAGTCTACCTTACAAGGATAGTATTACCTTGTGTAGTTTCATTTGTAAGGCTCTGTTTATAATTTTTCTTTTTTCTCTTTTGTTGCAGAAAATGAAGAGGACTTAGACGGAGGAGAAGAAGACGAATGGGAAAACCAGCAAATTAGAAAAGCTGTTTCTGGTGCTCAGGTATTATTGAGTTTGTTCCTTAATTGCACCCCACTAACAACAGTGATAAAATTTTGGCGTTTTTTTAAATTTTTGTTGCTAATGCACTCATAGGGAGTGTCCTCATGCCTTCATACTGAAGTATTTCAACACTATCATATGAAATCCACTGGAACAGGGTGGGGAGGAAACAGGTTTTTTTTTGTCTTTTGAAAAGGAAGGATTTTGCATGCTCGCCATTCAATTGCAGCTATAATTAACTGAATCATGCCGTGCGGAAACTACTATGGTCCATTTTTCTAGCTTGGAGTTTTTTCAGGTTAATATTACTTTCCAAGGTACGCTACAATCATGAAAGCGTTGTAAGGACTTGTTCTGGGGTTGAGATTACCCCAAAACAAGCCTTCTTCCCACTTTCATGGTTCTATCTTACTTTGTAAATAAATGTAATTAATGTAATGTAATTAATTACTCTTAAATGTATTATCAACCCAAAATGACTCAGCAGTGAGGGACTTCACTATTGCTAACTTTAACCATTTCCACAGTATGCTAGTATTATGACTTTAGTTTACCTTCTTCTTTGTGAATAAATGATCAGTCCACCAAACTTACGTGAATACTTAACATGAATTTAAAATTGTATCTTGTCTTATTCATCTCAAGGGCCACTCATAAAATATGTAACGTTTGAGGTAGGGGGAGGGATCAATCGAGGAGAGAATTACGCTTTTTTGTTTTTCTACAGTCTGTTTCCCGTTTTTTTCTTGTCTTTTCACTCAACTAGGAGTAATACTTGTTTTCTTGAAATTTTGTGTGTAGAATCTAGTTTAATTTTTGTTTTCATTTTTTACATCATGTTTCACTTCTTGAATTACTACAGCTAGCAGCAGTTCAACAGGAGAGCATGTTCATGCAGCAGTATATGAACTCAGTACAGATGTTACCGCAAGTACCCAGTTTCATTCCAACTGTTCCTGTGGCCCCAGTCACCATCGCTCCAACCCCAGACCTGGATGCAGTTTTTACAGCAAAACCTTTAGTTTTTGAAGGTTCAAGTATTACTCAAAATCCTCAAAGTGTGGTTAAGTTACTTCGAGAGAGGTAAGGTAATTTTAAAATTCTCGAAAATAATAAATCATAACTTTTGCTTTCCCTTTTAATATCCAGTGCCCAAAACTCTTAAAGAAAAAATTGGCTTCTCAAAACCGTATTGCCTTTGGTGGCAAAAAAAAAAAAAAAAATGCCAATCCTAATTTTCTCTCATCCACCCCTATGCAAAATATGAATGATATCAGAGGAGGACACTTTGTGGGATCCTCTGATCAAAGAGAACTGAGTCCAGTGGTGAGTATTGTAGATTTCCAAAAGTCGCTCAGCCATGGGACCCCAGAAAATTTATTTGACATACTTTAAAATAGTACAAAAAGCCTGTACTTCACCCTAAAAACACAATTTTCTTTATGATTTAGTGTTCATTCAAAGCTAACATTTTTAAATTTGATGGAATACGCACAGAAGAAATGCAATTGTCAACTTTGGTCAAATTTTATGTCACTTTCTTAAGAAAAATTTAATCCACCAGACAGTGGCGTAGCTAGAAATTCTCTTAAGGGGGGGGGGGGGGGGGGTCCATTCAAAAACGTGACGGTAAATTTACATTATTTTGTGTACATCCCTGATAATATTTTATGTCTGCGCTCTAAAAGTAACAAAAAGGTACAATTAACGAGGCTAGGGGGGGGGGGGGGGGTCCAGACCTCCTGGACCCCCCCTTGTCTACGCGACTGCCACCAGATGTATTTTTACTCAAAAAAGGTCAGAGTCAAGTTTTTCTCGGAAGAATTGTTCATGTCAAGAGTATGGCCAGTTTCTAGGGGTGAAGATGTTAATTTTAGACACATTTATATCGACTCTGAGTTGCAACTGAATTGTTTCCGCATTACCCAGTCCTCAGCATAATCGTTATTGACAGTGGACAAAAAATAAAAACATACAAATGGGTCATGAAAAAGGAGAAAAGGTAGTTTGCTATGTGCAAGTGATCGTCTCTAGCTTTTCTGCTTGAATTTTCGCAATCTGTAATCTTGGATTTTGCTTTGTGACTCTTTGTTATTAAGCTAAAATCGTATGTCATCCTTTTGCAGTGCTTTGTGGGTGTGTTCTCATGTGGCGTTACCCACTGTCAAATTTTTAAAATGTATTACATGCTCACAAAAGAATTTAGCTTTTTTTAGCCTGTCATTACCTTTTCGATTGAGAACACCAAAGTCGACAGACTGTTAAAAGTTAAATCCTAGCTGGGTCTGTCATAAGAGATAGAGTAAAGTTTTTGTTGTGGTCCATGCAGTGATGTATTTGGTGGCTGAGTGTTGTTGCTCGGAGCAGTGTCTACACTGTTTCAAACTCCGTTGCCTGCTTTTGGCTTTCATCAAAACTGTATAAAACATAGCAATGTGCTGAAGAAGAAAACCAATCATGTGGCTCATTTAAAGTATATTTTTATTGTTGATCGGTCGAGCCAAAATAGGTGGATCATAAGATTTCTTATTTTTCTCTGACTTTATCTTAATTTTTTAGGACTCACTAGACAGCTAGATGATGGAATTCTTGCAAATGTCAGAGCCAAAAGTAAATCCTGATAAAATTAGGGTTTGGAATGACCTGATGTGGATGGTAGCATCCAACAAGCACCAATTTTGTAAGTCTAACCTGAAATGTCTTCCAACCTGATGATGTTCGACTGATCGACAACAAAAATACGCTCTCAGGATGCAAATTTTGAATTTGATTGGTCCAAGGGTTCTCTTCACCTAATGGGTTTTGTTACAGTAAGTTGAGTGCCTACTTGATGACTTTCATTATGTGGCTATCCATTAATTCAAAAGTCTTTTTTCTGAAATGTTTATGTTTATCATTTTTTCTTTTCTTTTTTTCTTGCCCCTCTTTTAATATTACCAAAAATCAGACTGACGAGTTTAGAGGAAGTCCATCGAAGGCACAAGTTGGACAGAGATGCTTTGAAACATGAGCTTCAGAGTCTGGCGGAAGAAAACGAGCGATGCAAAGCGGAAACGCCTAACCTGGCGCAGCGTTTTAGATTTTATCAAGATTTACGTGGGTATGTCACTGACCTGGTAGAATGTCTTGACGAGAAGGTATGTCATCCTTTGCTTTTTCTTACTCCTTGCATAAATTGAAATGAGATCAACAACCGGCTTGCATTCCAATTATGAGATACAACATTGAAGAGGTCATCCTTTCCATCACATAATGTGATGCAACCAAGAGTGCCATTTAAAATGAAAAATGGGCCACGAAAATCCATATAAGGGCCCTAGTTTATAGGGGCCATCTAATCTTCTCTGTTTCTTTTTACTCCATTTGTCTTATTTTTTTTGTTTCTAATATGTTTGTAAATTAGTTTCCGAAACTGATAGACGTTTAATTGACCAAAAATTATGAAGAACGTTACTTACGTAATGAAAACCATCCAAACTTCCTGCCCGTTTGTGACGCTCAGGACCCAAGATTGCTCATTTTCACATGTAAAGGGACCCTAATATTCATGAGGAACAGTTAGTTTTTCTGAATTTTAAGGCTGCAGCCCATGTGACCATTCCCACAAAAAGTGTCTAAATCATGATTTGTGCTGTCTTGAAATTTGCTCAACTCCGAACTTTTTTGCAAGGCCTTGAAAGTGCTAAATTTTTTCAAAATATGCTTGAAGTGCTCAAATTTAACCCTTTACAATAAATTTGTCAGCTCCAAATTCTGACCATTTTGAAATTACAAAAAATTTGCTGTTAAACATATAGATTGTTTGGTAAGACTTCTTATATCCGAAGAAAATCGTGATCTCTCTCCAAAAAGAACCAAAAATTGCCAACTCGGACTCACATTACGGGCATGAACTGAGAATACAGAAAAAAAGTACAAAAAAAGCCTTTAAAAGTACTTGATTTTTCATCCTTGAGAAAAAAACATGAATGAAGCAAATATTTGTGTAAAGTTTTAAACCCGGTTTGGTAATTTTTCATCTCTCTGCATACTTTCAGACAGGTCTAGGCTTCCTATTTTAGTTATCACAAAGACTCCTTTTTCTTTTATCTTCATCTTTGTTTCTCGCAAGTTTAAATCAAAATTTATGAGAGCAAATATCAGAGTAATTGACACGGTTCATCAATTTATCCCTTATTAAAGGTAAACTAGTATCAGGTGGAAGGAGAAGCAAGTTTTTCTCTCATTGTGGCATTATTTTGAAGAAATCTGCTTATTTGAACTGATGAAGCAAAACTGTGTCGAATGAATTCACAAATCCTTTTTGTAATAATATTAGATCCATATAGTTCCTCAAAGTTGTGCAATTTTTCAAAGGAAAATTCCTGTCTGTAGCCAAGCCAGTTGTAAAAAAATTTCTGCCGCTTTTTAAGTTTCGAAACCGCTGTCACACACTCCAAATCTTGCTTAGTTGGTGGTTAATACCACTGCGGCAGATTTTTTGAAAAATTCTAGTTGTTTTGTCCTTTGGAATTCAGCCACATCAGCCCTCTTGGTCTTAAATATATCAACAAATTACTCAGTTTGAATTGACTGCATCAGAGGCAACTGTTGGTGTAGAATTTATTTTTCCGATGTAATGTTTTCCTCTTTTCTTTTTGCAGATTCCGATTTTGGTTGAGTTAGAGCAACGAATGCTGAATTTGTATGGGAAAAGAGCACAAGAACTTATCTCCAGAAGGCGGCAGGACGTCAAAGACCAAGCAGAAGAACTTTCAATGAGCAACTCAAGTATGTCTTTACTCCGCTACTGTCTTTACCCTTTCTTCATCCTACCAAGCAAAACTTATTTCTTTATAGTTAGACTATATTTTACAACAAGGATTTAATATTTCTGGATCGTTTTGTAAACAACTAATTGTCATTGGTTTCTCTGTAAAAATCGATGCTGTTATGGCTGAGCCAAAAACATTGCAAAATGTAGTCCAGTTTTCCCTCATTCCTATGTAACGTCAAGGGGCTTATAAACAAAGTATGAATTTTACCAAAATTTCTCAAGTCTTTGTCTCGAATATCATTTTGGAAATGGCTCAACTACATCCAGTTTGGAAGTCGATTCTGAAGCAGGATAAAAGTGTCCCTGATCAACATGATAGTACTTGAATGATGCCATCTATCTTCCATTGGATCAACACCTTGTTCATCAGGCTGTAGACCCTTTTTTAAACTACCTACCTTATCTTGGTCTTGTTTCAAAGGTATTTGTGACTAGATGGAGAAAGTCATGATTCAAAGGAAAAAATTAAATACTCTTTTTTTGCCTTCTTCAAAAAACTACTAAAACTTTAGCAATTTATAATTTTTTTGAATTTGAAGGTTGGATTAAATACAATTTAATCATGCAATTACAATTTTCTGAGCCTCCTTAATGTCATAGTCCTATTGCGCAGTATGATTACCGTCTTGCCATCCGGTTAAAATGCAAAACAAATTGTCCTAGTTACCGTTTTAATAAATATTATGGCAATTTATAAACAGCAGTCCTCGTAATAGTGGGGAAATTTGAAAATGCTTATTAGAGGTGTATGAGACAGACAATACATTTGTGCAATGGAAGATTAAAGAGAGATTAAAGAGTATTAAAGAGATGATTAAAGAGTATGTGTATATTTTTGGCACGTAAAGGGTTATTGCTAGTTTAGTTAAGACCTAAATAACATGCTCTGAAAATGATTTAAAAAATTACGGTTTCATGAAATATTTTTTACGCTTATTTTTTGCATAAAGTAATTCAATCTGATGTAGTATTTCGCTATGTTACTGCAAAAAATCATCAAAAGTACAGTTTAGTAATCCTTTCATATTGCCAGGATATCTCTGCATAGATGTTAGAATTTCCGGCTTACAAACATCTTACCAACAAACGCTGTCTGCTTGGTACCGTTAAACAACCATCTGGTGTAAAATAATCCTTTCTGATAAGACAATTTGTCACTAAATGTTTGAGGATGCCAAACAGCCTTTAAAAAGTAAAATGTGTTATTTTAGGACTTGGAGGTGGCGTCTTAAAAAGAGATGAAGTCAAAGCACGGCGAGCAGCTGAAAGAGAAGGAAGAAGGATCAGGAGAGTGCGTGCGCGAGAGACGAAATCGTTGGGGAAGCATGTTGATGGTATGTCCAGTGATGATGAAGTCACTGAAAGAGAAGCTGCCAACTTCCGCTCCCAAAAAGGTGGGTATTGATTCTTGTCTGCAATAATTATAATTCACATACTTATGATTCTCTTTTTGAAAAAAAAATTAATAGATCAAGGGAATTTTAATATCAAAGTATCAATAAGTTCGTTCAGTAATTTTTAGTCATCGCATTTTTAAAAAGAAGAGATTACACTTTGTCCACAGAAATTTGCCTGAATTTCTTTCTTGCAATATTCGTCCGTAAAAAACCTTTTAAAAATTATTTATTTTGAGCTCCTGTTAAATCGCACTTCACCAAGAAAGCCAAGATGATTTGATGATAATATTCCCAAAGCCAAGGCTACGATCGTATGTTCTCCATGTGAGGTGCATTAATAATGGCTGCATAGATGAGTCAATGGGCCTGTTGCAAACTTTTGCTAGAGCAAAACTAAGAGTTGTTTCCTGCAGATAATGCCTCAAAAATCACGATGAGCGCATCGGCAAAGTCTGAAATGCACTCATAACTTCACAATCTGCGTAAGATATTTGCGGTTTTTTGAGCTTCCCGCTTCGAAAACGATACTACGGTACAGGTGAACATTTTGTTAGAGGAGTCGTTCCATTGGCGACAATACTCACCATGGCCGACGCCAGTCCGCCAAAACACGTGTGATGGGACGAGATAACACTTGAACAGGATTAAACCATATAACAATCGGCGTGTTTACGTTCATATTTTCCTTGCCCGCCTTGATTGACCTTGAACTCTCCTCGAATTACGCGAGGAACTGCGCAAGCGTCGGCCATGATGAATATTGCCGACGATGGAGCGACTCATCTAACAAAATGTTCACCTGTGCAGTAGTATCGTTTTTGAAGCGGGAAGCTCAAAATAACGCAAATTTCTTACGCAGATTGTGAATTTATGAGTGCATTTCAGACTTTGCCGATGCGCTCATCGTGATTTTTGAGGCATTATCTACAGGAAACAACTCTTCATTCTTCTCTAGCAAAAGTTTGCAACAGGCCCATTGTACAATCGATTTTGAACTGCAGATGTAGAGATATTTTTGACCGCAATCTTGGCTTTAAATCAGCCATACCTGTTTGAATCAAAGTTCAAAATGAAAACTTGTTTTTTGTCGATTATTGTTTGAAAATTTCTGTAAACTAAGTGCTCTTTCCTCTTTTGAAATGCAAGAGTTGAAAATTATGAAACCAAGGTGTCTACAAGCCTGGAAAACAGGGGATTGTCAGAGAAATCAGGGGGAAAAGTCAAGAAATTTTACAAAAAACTTAAAACATCTTGAAATATAAAATCTGAAGAATCATCAGCGCTATCTGCTTAATAAAACTGACTTTCAGTCTGATTCTGGGTTCATTATCATTGCTTTAAGTCACACTCTGTTTAAAGCATAGAGGAATGATTTTAAACAAGGAATTGCAATTTCAGTTAATTGAATGATCAATACTTGAAGAAAATATTTCACATATTTTTGTCATCTGCAGTGAAATAATGCCAAAAATTCATTTTAAGTTCCTTGCATGGTATTTGTTGATGTGAAAAGGCAGGAAATGTTGATCATTTTCGTCGAAAAAACCTAGAAAAGTCAGGGAACTTTTTTTCTCTCGTTTCCTGAGACCCATAATATTGACTCATTCACCATAGATTGATGGATTAAGTCTTGATTCTCGATGCATTAATTTATAATCATCCCTTCCAGCGTACAATTTTCTGTAGTAGAATAATTAAAACTTCAATAGCTTCAATAATTTTCAGTCTTGATGAGAATATACAATTTAAAATTTGAATTTAAAATGAATGCCAAATGCTAACTATTTAATGACTAAACTGGGAAATTTTTGGATGTAGCTCACTGCTTATACTCCTACTAGCTACCTAATACTTCTATCTTACTTAATTTTTCAATTCACCTTAATTTTTTTATTTTCTTTTTCTTCAGAAACAATTGAGCAAGATGCTGTGCGACTGTTCGAAGATGTTGTCGAGGACTTTTCATCTGTTGGAGGTGCCTTGAGAAAGTTTAACCAATGGAGGACAGAGGATAAGACAGCCTATTGCGAGGCTTATGTTAGCATAACGTTACCTAGAATATTGGCCCCTTTTATCCGCCTGGATCTAGTTTCTTGGAATCCTTTATTAGCTGTAAGTTTATATGAGTCTTTTTATTTTATTGGAAATGTGAGGATCTAGAACATGTTTTTATCAAATTACAGGAAAAAAAAATTAACATACCTACAGATGGTAGCGATTTGCAAAAGAATGACCTGTAAAGTTTTTCACATTTTTCATATCTCTCATGTCTCCCCCCCCCCCTCCCTTCTTTTCTTCTCTTTTGTGGCATAAGTTTAATGGAGATCTACTTTGTCAGGAGAAATGAGGTTTCCAAAACAGTTAATTATGCATTTTTCATTTATTGTCTTAAAATCGAATGATAAACTGAAAATTTATGTGAGACATATTGGCATTTGCTTCAATAACTGAAAAGAAAAAGAAGCAGATACTAACAATAGACTTTTATTTTCCCTAAAGTCATGGCTTTTTTGTCGCATTCCATAACAAAGGAAAATTCATGAAAATAAATCATTTTTTCCCTTCAAAACTTCTAGCCGTTGCCTAGTATTCTAAGGTTAGATCCAAAGTCACCAATCTCAAGGGAGTGCTGCGCCTTTAAATCTCTTTAAAAAAAGATTCACTTAAACGTAGCTCTCTATAAAAATATTTTTCTGATGTATTTTATGCACTTTTTTTCTTTTAAATTTAATCATGATTCCTTCGATAGAAAATAAATTTTTTGCCCTTTTTTCTGATTTCAGAATGGTGGTGACCTAGATCAGTATCCATGGTACAAAAGTTTGATGCTTTATGGAGTGCACCAGGGTGAGACGGAAGAAATGCTCAAGGAAGATGTAGATGTGCAACTCGTGCCAAGGGTCATCGAAAAAATAATCATTCCAAAATTAACTCGTGAGTAATCTTATTTTTTGTCCTCACAGGGACAAGAATCATTGACAGGCTGTATGTAAAAAATGATTGAAACAATTTATCCCCCTCCTCTCTTAAAGGAAGGCCTTAGTGGCGATTGGTGGAAATTGTAGGTTGAAGCATCCAAATTTGGCTGTTTTCTTGAGTGTTTTTCTAATTATGCTCAAAGTCAATGACACTCAAAAAATAAATAAAGCCCTGTAGAACGTTTTTTCCAAGCTATTAAGTTAATGATGTGCTGAAGGATAGTTTGCGTTCCATTTCAATCCTCTGAATGCTTTTAAATGAAGCAGTAAACGATACCTGTGAATCCTTTTTTTGTCTAACGTTATCTGTCTTATCTTTCCTTTTCAGAGCTAATTTCATCTTGTTGGGACCCCATGTCAAATAGTCAAACTCTTCTATTAGTCACTCTTCTAACGCATCTAATCCAAGATCATCCAACACTAGGACCTGAAAGCAAGCTTCTGACATCGCTATTTGGTTCTGTCATCGACAAAATGAAAGACAGTGTCGAAAATGATGTATACATCCCCATCTATACCAAACAGTAAGCATCGCTATTAATATATTGTAGCATTCTGTTAAGTAGTCGAAAGGTTTTAGAGGATTTTTTAAAAACCAAGAAAAAAAAGGCTAAGTGTCCTTTAATTTCTCATGCTCATAATTTCTGCTTACGGTGGTCTGGCTTAATGCTTGCGGAATTTCTGCACACCTAATTCTATCAAGTTCGATACAGGGTACTTCTTTCAGTGTAGAATTGTTGATTTAATAGTTCTAACAAATAGATCGCAATTCGATGCTAGAGTCGTTTTGACAGAGTGTCAGTGATTTCACTAACTAGTGTCTGTGTAGTTATCTCTCACCAAAAATGACTTGATAATTACCATGAGCGTATTAGTCAAGTCCAAAATTTGCTCGTTGCCTCACAATCTGAGCAAGAAATTTGCGCTTTTTTGAATTTTCAGCTTCACAAAGTATAGTACAGTAAAGATGTAGGTATTAGATCCATAACTCAAGAACAAAACTTAAAATGTCCGCATCATCGTGTGATGCTGTAGCTTGAACAAAAAAAGTAACATCAAAGTGCTTCAATTAAACATTTTAATGTTTCTACTTTACAAGTTTCGTTTTTTTAAGATATTTTTGTCTTTTGTTTTTGATTGAGAAACCTTGTTACGTTGTCAGGATGAGTCTAACCCGGAGTTGTGAGACTCATCCATACCAAATTATGTATTAGCGCAAGAAAAATTTTTTTAAGTGGGAGCTCACTAAAGCGCTAATTACTCATAGAAATTGTGAAGTAAAGAGTGAATTCCTGACTTTGCCTTTGGGCTCATCTTACTTTTTAATCATTTGCCATCAGAATCAATGCTTATTTTTGATCCAGCTGAAAATTGAATTAAACCCACTGAAATTACTTAACTTAGGGAGGAATAGATTTAGCACCCAAAAAAAATTGAAAAACAATATAAAGACAAAGCCTGCTCAATTTTGCCATTTAATCAAGAACACATGGTAAAAATGGTTTTTGTCAGGGACAGAAGGTGAGTAGGTCAATTAGTGTCCTCTAACCTTTTTTATTGACTCATGGCTACAACCTGCAACATATTCCAATTTTCATCTCAGCCCTTAACCGGCAGGCGTGGGACACAAGAAAGTCAGGTAACGCCCATTGACCAACTGATGAACCTTTTGTCTATGAAACAAACCCGTTTTCTCTATGGATTAAATCACGCATTTCTCAAATTGATAAGTAAGCAAACTACAGAAACGTTTCTTTCCCCCTTCTAGGACAATGGAAACAAACAGGTGGGGCCCATTTTTTCAGCGGCAATTTGCATCCGCCGTCAAGTTGTTGACGAATTTGGTCCGGTGGCAAGGTCTGATAAGCGATACACTTCTTGGACAAGTTGCTATTGACCCGGTCTTAAATCGCTATTTACTGATGTCACTTCGAACTTTAGAGCCTATTGAAGCCTCAATTAAATGTCACACGGTAAGTTCATACTTTTCTACTCTTCTTGTGTATCACTGATAATAATAACTGGTCTGCAACAAGTATTCGGGAACAGTATCCTAGTGAAAACTGATTATGGTGAGGAAGGTTCACGGACTTTATGTCCACTAATTCGTATGTCCACCGCTTTTATGTCCATTTTGAATGTCCAAAAAATTAATGTCCACCGCATTTACGGCCACAGTATTTTATGTCCACAGTATTTACATTCCGCGGTAGGCCCAATATAATCGAATGTGTGTTCGAAAGGACCTATTGCATAGCAGAAGCTTGGTAACGCTTTTGAAGGTTAATGTTAATAGTCAATTCAGCTGATATGCGTTGCCATAGAAAATGAAGGACTAGGAGGGAAAGTATTGCTCAAGAAGTATCAAAATTTCCGGTATATAATTATATAATATATATAACTCTTTAAATCGTGCAGTTCCCGTAAAAGTTTTAAGTATGAGGTAACTAATTAAAAAAGTAAATTGGGTGAAATTTTAACCAAAATTGAAAGTTTGAAAAATATGAAAAAAGCAGTTACTACTTCCGGACTTTCTTCCTTGATCTCTGTTTTTAAACAAGTATGGCAGAGCCGATAACCTCCAAAAAAAACAAGCTTGTGATATCGTATCAAAATTGCGTGTATCAATTTCATTCACATTCTAAAAATGGTAAAAGTACGTACTGGCGTTGTGAACAAAAGGATGGGTGCATCGCCCGAATGACAACTAATAGAAATTACGAACAGCAGATTGTTATTCGGAAAGAACCTGGGGCTCATTCACATGAGCCGGATAGCGTCAAAGTCCAAGCAAGAAAAACCGTTAGTAAAATTAAAGAAAGGGCGACTGCAAGGCCCAATGAGCCACCCTCATCCGTCGTTGTAGAGGAGGTCGCCAGCATTATTCACGACGATGTGCTTCGAGAACTGCCCGAGCGTCAACATTTGCTATGATTCGTCAACCAGCATCAAAATCGAACTAGACCACATATACCGAACAATTTGCAAAATTGTGTCATACGTGTTCCGTATGACAAAACACTTCATGGACGAGAGTTCCTCGAGTTTGATTCAGGCCAAAATGACCCAAATCGCTTAGTGATATTTACCACAGATGCGGCACTAACATGGCTCAGCGCGTCTGAAATGATTCTTATGGATGGAACATTTAAAACTGCTCTGACTATTTTTTTCCAACTCTACACAATACATGCTTTAATAATGGGTCATGTGTTTCCTCTCGTCTATTGCTTATGCTTAAACAAAACTGTCGCTACCTACAATTTGATTTTTGAGCAAATTAAACGAATCCATAGAAACAACCACCGCAATCGCCGGTTCTGTCCTATAAATCCACGACGAGTCATAATGGATTTCGAAGTTGCTGCAATTAATGCCACTTACAGATCATTTCCAAATGCTGATGTGCAGACATGTCTCTTTCACTTTGGCCAAAGCTTGTGGCGTGCCGCAGTTAGGTTGGGGCTAAAAGTGGCGTACAATGACCCTCATGCCGACACTTTACGTAATAACGTTAGAATGGTGATGGCTTTACCTTTCGTACCAATAAATGATCTGTTGGCAACATTTAATGCTATAACTGCAGATTTTGGAGACGAGCTGGATGATTTTCTTGATTACTTCCATAGAAATTATTTAAGAGGCGTTGCAAGGAGGAGAAGGATGGTGCCACCTCGCTTTCCTCCAGAACTTTGGAATGTATTTGAGACTGTTAGAGCCGGAGTAATGCAAACCACCAATTCTGTTGAAGGGTGGCATTCTGGTTTTCAAAAAAAAGTCATCACTCATCACCCAAACATCTGGAAATTCATGGACTTCTTGCGGAAGGACGAGTCAAATAATTCTGGCCTCATAACACAACTGCTTGCAGGGCATTCAAGAATTAAACATCCGATCAAGAAAAAATATGTAACCAATTTGAGAGGAATAGAAGAGATGGTTAGGAACTACGAGACATACAAGAATAATAATCAAATTCGCACATATCTTTGAGGTTTAGCCCACTGTATCAAAGTAAATCCCCATGAAATTGTCGAGGACGAAGATGATCTCCGCTGATCTGAAATCTCCGCGTACATGTGGTTTTCACCTAGCAATGTAAGTTGGAAAATTTTTTGAGACTCACAAACCTAATCCATTACATCATATTTTCTTCATTGTGTAGGAAATGTTTTATGTACAATACTGTGGACATAAATTTATTGGACATTCAAAATGGACATAAAGGCGGTGGACATATGAATTTAGTGGACATAAAGTCCTGGAACCGTGAGGAAAGCTTTTCATTATCATAGGGAGCTACAGTTTTCTGCTGTTATTAATTTGCTATCCTCATGTAATCATTTTACCAGAAACTTATTCCAATGGTTTGTCCCTAAAAAAGTGGTAAATCGAGAAATTTTTTTTGAAATCATCCGATTTTACTCCAGAATGATGTGTGACTTGATGCGTTGTTGCAGACTGCTGATAAAAGTGCAAGCTTAAGATAAAAGGGTCATCTGTCAAATGACGTTCCACATAGTATGTCTTCTGAACAGAAAAAGATTTTGGCCCTTGCGATCAAATATTTAAAAAACAGCAAAAGCTGTGAATTTCAAAGACTCAAGTTTCAAAATAAGCTGCTAGCATAAATTTAAAAAACTTCTTCTGTTTTAAAATTTTAGCCTTTTTTCTAGTGGATTAAAAATGACTGCATGAGCCTCTTCAACTAGCCAGTGAATGGATTTTTCTTTGTATAGACTCTTCTTCTTTGGTCTGAAGGTGAAAGATTTATAATCTACATTTTATCTCTTGGTTTAATTGCAGATAGTCAATGTGTTACCTCGAGTATGGCTGCATCCCAGTTGTCCACTTACGCAACTGAAACCATTCCTCGAATTTACTAAAACTGTCGGCAAGCAAATGGATTCAACATCATCCATGGCTAGGTTAGTCATTTGATTGTAACATAAATGACCTCTCAGATCTGCAATGGTGTAAAAAGCAGAAATTCAATCATGTTCGAATTCTAAGAGAGTTTTCTCCTTTTTTAATCTCCAATTCAGCCTTTTCAGGACAAAGCGTGACAAGCACTGTCAATAAAAAAATAGAAGCTAGCACATAATTCTTAAATTTAGTAAAATTCATATTTAAAATGACGTTTTAGCAGTCGAGGCATGTGGAAGTTTGTTTGACGTTAAAAGGATTAAAAAAACTTTTAAAATCTCTATTTGCGATTCAATTTTCCCTGATTTTACTCTCATGAATTTCAAAGCAAGAAGTTATCATCTTCCGGGAGATTATATCACCCATTATTTTATTTTGAAGAGAATCAGTCGAAAGGTATGACAGATCGAGTTTTGGTTAAGTTTCTCTATTTTCCCATGGATTTATTTTTTTCCCAAAAAGTGGCTCTCACAGAAAAATATTTTGTTGTTTCAGGGAAGCACTGAATAACATCAATAAAATGTTGAAATATGCCTCTTGAGCTGAGAATCGATTCTAGTGAGGAGGAAAGAATGGAAGATGCATCCATTTCATCAAAGGTCGATAAATAATTATTTTTAAAATATATTCAATCATGTTGGAAAAGACTATAGTCTCCCTCCACCACTTAGTATAATGTTAAATGAAGAGGAGAAATGAATTCAGCGAAAATTTTTGTTTGAAGCCTTGTTACTTCAGTTTTGATGGCTTCGATCCTCTTTCGGTCCATCATCAAGCAATGAATGAGGGAATATTAATCAAAACTGTCTCTCTTTCGAAGCAAGTCTATTAAACGTGTCCATAGGGTACAGGGTTGCTCCTGTTAAGAAATATTGGGAAACCCGGGAAAAGTCAGGGAATTTTAAAATGTCAGGGCAAACCTGAAAATGTCAAGGAAAAATTGCCAAATCACCTTAATTTCCTTTCTAGAATGGGTTTGACGTTTCGCACAACAAATTTGGCCGGAAAGCTATTTCAAATCATGTCTTTTTAAGCATCTGCCATATTCTTCATTGTCAGAGAATTTTACCAAAATGTAACAGAAAAGTGGGGGAAATGTCAAGGAATTTCATTTTCTAAATTCCGTAGCAACCCTGAGGGTAGTAAAAAATAGGCAAATCCATGATCTTACATGAGCCTCTAGATAAGAAAAGAAGCCTCTAGAAGGTCTACATTAGGACACTGCATCATGTGGTTTCTAATTTAAACTTCTCACCCGAGAGAATCAAGAAGTCTTTTAATGAAAGTAATGCCAAAGCACTTTTATCAAGTTTTATCCTTTGTAGCTTATGACTAAGGTAATGGTTTTTCGTCTGAACAACCAAAATTTTATCTTCGTACATCTGTTTTGTTTGCGGAGTTGGTGTAATAGAAAACTGGGAATATTTTTAATTTTAAAATCTTAAACAGGGAGCATGAATTTAACTTTTACTGTTACCACAGCAGGATTTTACCTCAGTCATAAAGACTGCTACGTCATGATTAAATCTGCTGGTTCAGCTGGATCTTGTTTTTTTTTGTTTTTTTATTTTTTTTTTTATTTGTACCTCTAGTGTCTAGAGGTAAATATCAGAGCTTCAATAGGCGATTGGACAAGGTGTGAACTGGAGAAAAACATTACGTTTTCATCCCAATACCTTATGCAGAAGAGGATTTACACAACTGAAAGTTTGGAAATCAACTCTTGCGGCCCGATTATTAAAACTATATTGGCACAACAAGACAAGACCTAGCCCTGTCTCAACCATGCAGTATATCGCATTTTGATGTCTTATCGAGTTGCTAATCGGCCCATGAACAAGATATTAACAATATTTTCTGCACATATTAAAGGAAAGATAGATTTTACAAAGACACCAATTGTATCTTTGATTTTTAAACAATGTTAATTGTAAACAGTTGTGTCTTGTTGATTTCAAGACTTCCCATGGTGTCACTCGTTTTCCTTGAGAAATTTTAAAGAGAAAACATGCTGCGTAGTGCTTTAATTTATACCTTGTCCAGAGCTCATTTCGTAAAATGTCAATCTCAATATAGTTTTGATTTTCCTCTAGCCATGAATCAATGTTATTTTACTGAAGTTGTGAATCGCACAAACACTAGGTTTCAATCCTATAAATGTATAAATAACCGAGTTTGTGCTACGTAACACGTTTGCTTTGAGGTACAGTCATCTAAACAAACGTCAATCATTTTATCTGCAGAAATTATTCTTCACTTTGTTATGTTTTTGTAATTTAATAGTAATATATGTATTTCTTCCATGTAAAATGAGGTCTTTGTCACTTATAATACTGCGCTTTCCTTTACTTAGAATACTAAGCAAAGTAAGCCCTTTCATTGTGTTTCTGGGTTGGAAAATGAAGAATCGTAAAGGAATTTCATCAAATTAAGAAAAAATTATCAAGACTTGAATTCTGGAAAATTATCAGTGCTGTCTGTGCAATCCAACTAAGTCTCCTCATAGCTCCAGACTCAATATTCCGAGTTACGCTCTAAGTAGTCAAGGTAGACAAACTTTCAATGAGGTATTGCAAGTTTAGTGAGTTGCATGATTAATACCCGAAAAAAGCCTCTCATGATTCTGCCAGTTGCAGTGACATTAATGTCAACAAATTTTCATTTTCAGTTGCCATGCTTTGAAATTTTTGGTGAAAAGTCAGGGAATTTTACTTATTTTGGTTAGGGAAACCTGAAAATGTCAGGGAATTTTTTCTTGCCAAGTCTGCAAACACCTCATTATTTTATTTTCATTGAAAATTAGGTTAAAAAGTTGATGAAACACCAAAAATTGAAAAAAATCAGAATGGAAAAGAATTCAGTCAGTCACGTTAACAATATGACGACGGTGGAACTGCGAAAATGCGTATCTCGGTTGCGGTGTTTCAAAATTTCCACTTCTGTTTTATTTTGTAAATGGAGACCAAACAAAATCACGTCTTGAAGTTTTCACAGAATAATAGAATTATAAGAAGAAGAAAAATCACTGAAATTTGAGGATAATGACTATCAGTAGTTTTCCATTCATAAAATAAAGTATGGCAGGAAGTCTGCAACACCGCAAACTGAGATACGCATTTCTGTAGTTTCACCAACAGTAAGTAGCTATTGTATTTTTTATTCCTTTCTCTTTATTTTCATCAATATTTTCAGGGTTTTTCTCCATTATTCCTAACTTTTGTCTTTTTTAGAAAAATCGCCTTTAGAGTTTTCACTACTTAATTTCTAAGTTGATCCATGTTTTGTATTTTAGATGACTGAACATCCTTGTGGCAGTTCATTTGTCGCATACAAAGTCAGTGATCTATTTGCCAGTCAAAGAGTCCCAAAAATTTAAGTGCCAAAGCTTTTCTTGTACTTCCGTACCAAAGAAAAACTCTGTACAAGCATTCAAACGTTGTCAAATTTCCTCCCAGGAAATGTATGTATTATGTATGCATATAATACTTTTTCTTGAAATTTTTAGATATTTTAGATCAAATTACTAACAAAATTCTCTGAAAAATCAGTAGAAAAATATTTACAAATTTTCCCAAAAATTCATGATTTGCTGAAGAAAATTTGGCAATGTCTGAAGGCTCGTATTGTGTTCTTCCTCAGCATTTCAGTGTAGGTATAAAATCATCATAGAGAAAATGCAACCTCAAGTAGTCTGTTTTATTTGGATCTTTATCAATTAATGAACAATCTTTCACTTGAGGAAGCGTGCGAAGTTATATCGTTCTATTTTAAGACTTCAATTACGCTGAGTATGAGCTTCAAATTTCACTTTACTTAACACAATCACGCCGCTTGCTAATTTTAGAAGTTCGGTCTGTATTGCAGAATCAAACAATTTTTTTTAAGTTGAAGCGAAAACCAAAGGAAAAAAACTGTGGCTCACAGAGAGATCAAACTACTGACTCCCAGCTTTGATCAAGATCCGGATCAGAATTTTCCGCAAAGCATAAAAAAAATTACATCAATTGTTTAAGGGGAGGGAGGGGACCTAATGAATTATTGGAGATAACCTTCATACCTCTCTTTCACTTGTTATTCCGAATGAATATGATAGAGGGAATGCATTAGTCATTTTTCTCACCATTTGCTTTGTTATCTCTGATAGATAACCTCTACAAGTTCAAAGGTCGAAATTTGGTGAAAAGGCACTTCAGTTTATGTTGGACAGTAGCATGATTCCATAAAACAACTAAATTTTCTTTAATTTTGTTTCAATGAATAATATTTTCCATGAAAATAATTTTGTGTGCACCTAGTTTTGTAAAACTGAGATTCTTTTCTTAGAAATCAAAGTTCAAAGCATAGGAAAATCTGACTTTGTGATCTTGTACTGAATTCTCTGGTTTAGTGTTATAGTGTCTCATGAATCGTAATGTAACAAAGTGTTTCCTTGGAATCCGTGTTTTCCTGCGGAAATTCTTTTAATAATAGAACATGTGGATCTACAGGATTTTTGGTAAGTTGCGAATCTGTAGCGTCTTTCGATACTTTAATATTTGTTATAATGTTATCAATCTATGTTATTAATGAATAGATTTTCTTCATTTAGATAAATCCCATCACTTTGAATTAGCCAAGGAATTCATCGTTTAAGAGTTCCGAATCACCAGTTTTATTTACCCACTGAAAGTACCCTGTAAATCACAATTTCGCAATTTAATTGTCAATGTTGTGTAAAATTTTGTTCCTTTTGAACCGAGTAACAAAAATTAGTTTTCAGGTTAGATCCAAGCTTACCTCGTTTTCACACCAGCTTTTATTCACTCTCAACTAGCTTCTATCCATCAGTTTGACCTCCAGTTAGCTTTTGTGTTGCATCAGTCTTAGAAACTTCCATAACAGACACAATGGGTCTTGTTTACATATTGACCTACATTCATAAATTCTTCGCCTCACATTATTTTCTCGCAAATTAATTGTTTTTTAAGGGAGGAAGCCTTCAAAAAGGAGGAATGCTGTTTGATACTCAGAGGAATTGCACTCCATACCTCTCTTCTTCCCATGGGCCTCTTTACCTCATCTTAATCAGTTTATTAACTGTACACATCTTTCCAGAACCAGCCTAACCACAAGAGATGTTGCTTAGTCTCCTCACGTGTCTCATTTCCTTTCAACAGCAAACTAATTAAAATTCTGATTTTAAATTTTATGAGTTCATTCTTATAATGTAAGGGAAATCCACCAAAAGTTTCAAGGTGTCATGTTGTCTAGTTTTCTGTCGAAAAAGTAAAACAGAAAATTAGGCAATGTTAAATGCTCTCAAGCGGACTCTGGCTGAGCTCGTCAAATAAATGGCCGGAAGCAGACTCAGAAAGAAAGTAATGTTGAGCAAACTAACACTATTACGTAAAATTTTTATTAATTTTTCTTCACACTGAGTAGTAAAATCAGGAAATTTTTCTAGATAAGACATTAAGTATTTTTTAATTTAATATATACATTAAGTACCTATGCTTGAAAGTTAAAAACATTGACATGCGTTCCTGCAGTTTTACCGTCAATGTGAAAAAATTGTCAGCGAACTGAACAAAGTTTTTTTCTTGAATTTGTGAAAGAGCTTTTAGGTCAACAGAAGAATAACTAGTTCATGAACATGAGTATTTTTTTTAGTACAAAAATTAAATTATGCATTATTATGAAAGTAAACGTTTCCTATTTCTCAATTTGCAATTCAAGAGTAGCTTAATTTAGGTATGTTTGTCATTATTTATCTGTTTTTGATGACTTTGAAGTTGTCTGCTCCCTTGTATTTTTAGGTGTCATCCTTTTTCTGGGTTTTGGTGTCGCTCAAACACACATTTTCATCGAAAATCATGAATTCAGCTACCTCTGGAGTGCCCATCTTGATGTTGGCTCTTCACTGCCGTCACAAGTTTCATCGCAGTGGGACTTGAACGCTAGACTTTCGATCTACCAGCAGGGTGATCTTGTCCAATTTCAGGTACAGAAACTTCCTCCTCACAGCCTACGTTTGAATGTTTTATGTAAAGTTATTTCCTGTCCGAAATTTGTTCTTTGTCCAACATTGAGCCAAATATTTAACTAATCTTATTTGATTAGTTTGGAAGAGACTGAACATCATAACTGTTAATATCATATTGACTTCTTTTCAGGGTAAATATCCTCTAGAAGTACATGCATTCAATACTGCAAAGGATTCCTTTACATATAGGCAGTGGTTGAAAGTTTTGAGAAACAGTGTAACCCCCACGTCAGTCGCACGGATTGCAATTAAGTACTTTGTAGAATTATTGCTATTTGTATCAGAGTGCTGTGTATGTTGTCTAATTAAAGGGCCTCTTTGATTATTTTTCATCCTTAAATTTTTTATCAAGTCCAAGTCGAGCAAATTGTGACAAATATCTGTTTGTATGGGAAATTTTTTTGCAACAAATTTATAATAAAATAACAACTTAATTTGGGGAAAAGGCTGCAAAAAAAACAACAAAGGATAATCAAAAACCCGGAATGTTTCAGAATATTAACACTTCCATTTTCAAGCGGCAAAATAAAAATAAAAATGAGCCGTTGATTTGCTGTTATGGATCACTAGACAAGGTGCAAATTTCAGCATTTTGATACATGTTTCTTAAGCAAAATTTCACGTAAATCACGATGCAAACAACGAAAATTACGGAAATCACATCCTTACGAAGATATTCAATCATTCTTAATGCGTGAATTCAAACCACCCGCTCATTAAAACTCAATGCTCTACGTGATTCACATCCCGCGCTAAACGTTATCATGACAGTCTCTGCGATATAAAAATCTGGCAACCTCAGTCTTGACGCTTTGGCTCAGCTATAGCAAATTGCTAATAGTTTGAACAACATATGGTGGAAAATGAACATTGCTCGATTGAGAAGCTTGCTGAAACCGTTGTAGTGCTCGATTTGACTCACGTAGAGCTTTGAGTTTCTTGTGAGCGGGCAGTCCAAATTCCTCGTAACAGATGTGAAATAAAAACGTTAATATCTTCGTTAGAAGTTGGTTTCAGTAATTTTCGTTGCGCGAATCGTGTTCTACGTGAAATTCTGGTTAAGAAACATGTATCAGAATGCTAAAATTCGTACCTTGTCTAGTTGTCCATTGCGAGTATTAATATGTAATATACTTAAATATTCTGAAACGTTTTTGTTTATCCTTTGTTGTTTTTTTTTTTTGCAGCCTTTTCCCCGAATTAAGTTGTTATTTTATTATGTGAATTTTGGCTGATTAAGTTGTTTTTCATTTACATTTATACTTGTGAATTGAATTTTAATCAAACGGAAGTGTCATATCTTTATTGATGTTCCAGTTGAACAACATAACAAGTTCAGAAGAACATGGGAATGCTTCTTCAGCTCTGAGAATCCCTTTTTACGCTAACTTTTCATCAGTGAGAACAGTTTCCCTCTTAACGGAAAATAATGATGAGCCATGGTCTGTGAACATGAAACGAAGCATCGTCTCACTATTCCAACTAAATTTGGACTTGTTTCATATGCCTGTCCAGTCTGTTCATGAGGTACGTGTAGTGTACATCAAAAGCACCTGATTTGAGATCCATGTTCAATTTTTGTCAACCTAGGAAATGAAATATGTTTGAACATTTTTGAGATGGTTTCTTGAAAACACTGAACTGTGATTACTGATTATCCATTCGAGAAAAACAAGTCAGAGTTGCGGCCGATTTGGAAAATTGGGAATATCGGGGAAAGTCCAGGAATTTGCGACGACTAGAGAAAGTCAGGGAATATCTGACACATCTACTAATCACTACTTTACATCACTGATCTTCTAACCGATTACCCTTTCTGATCTATTTAAAGCTTGTCATATTTTAACCAGTCATGCCTCTTTCCATTATTCGATCTTAAAACAGGGGAATATTGTCCATAGTTTAGAGAAAGTCAGCATATTAAAAAAAAAAAAAAAAAAAAAAAAAAAAAAAATTAGAAAAAACCGAAAATTTCAAATGCCAGGGAAAGGCAGAGAATTAGGAAGTTTTGAAGTCAGGGCATAGCAAAAATAGTCAGGTAAAAGCAAAAATGGTTAGTCAGGGAATTTGAAGATGATGAAATAATGACAACCGTAGAAAAGTTACTATTTTGCAAGAAAATTTTTCCTTCCCATGAGGTCCGGGCCCCATGTCTATTCAGTTCGTGGTATGTCTTAATTTTTGGCTACACATGGTGGCAATCGTTAATGACACCATGTTCATGCTGATACCTCATTAAGTCTACTACAGGGGTGCAGAAAGACTTTCGGCCTATGCATTTTCAAGCAACCTAGGATTCCGTCCATGCACTATGATCGCGCGTTCGCAGTAATTTACACCAATAAATAGTACGTTTGCTGTAATTTTCTAAAAATTCAACGCTTCTGCAGTAAATTTTTCAAAAGCCTTACACTTAAGCAGTAATTTTCTATAAACATTTAACCGTTTTGCACTAGTTTTGTAACAATCAGTGCAATCGAACTTGTTCAGAGCATTGAGCATCCACTATTTAGAATAAGACCGACTTTTCGGGTCGTATTCAGTTCAAGTAACGGAACTTCTTTTATCAGTTCTTTTATTAACCACATAAGTTTGCTTATGCAAACTGTAAGTGGTTTGATGAACTGAATAGTGGGGATGATGTAAAACGTCATGGTCTCCTTCATTTTGTGGATATGCAGTTTTGTCTTCTTGGCAGTCAAAATATTTGTATCCAGAGTTTCACCCCTCCCAACTTTTCACTCTTGTGTTAAAGTCTCTGAGTCAGCTGAAAAGAGATTCTCCTTTATTTTGTGGGTACGCAATTTTACCCAGTTGGAAGTCAAAACGATTGCATCACACGTTTTGCCTCATCAATTTTTCAACTTTGTGTTAAAATTCTTGAGTCAACAAAGAAGAGACCAAGCCTTTTTCACATTGTGAAAATGCGAGAAAGTTTCGTTGCTTCATAATAATTAATTGTGACTGGATCAACGAAAAAGAACCTTATTTTCGGGAAGAAAATTTCTTAGAATTGGAAAGTTTTGGGGTCTAGGATAAGCAAAAGCCGTCCGAGAAAAGTCAATAGCAGACCACCCTTTGTTCCTACCCAAACAAGAATAAAAAATCTCAATATTTTCATCCCCAAAATTTCGTTGAAAATCTTTGAAGACTGGGCTTATGAATGCAGTATCTTTGTTAAATTACAAAGTAAGAATTTTGTATTTTAATCCTACTTTAAGCACACACAACCCGCAAAGCAATAGCTGCTTTTGTTCGCTCAAAACCGAAATGTGCTAAACTTTTTGAACACCATATGTATAGCCAGCATGCTTTGAAATTCAGTATAGAACCAAAATTCTCATCATAATTGTTGGCTAATTATTCTCATTATACTTTCAATATTTAATAAATTTCTCTTTATAATCGTAAGCTAAAACACTGTGTGAATGACTTGTGCGTCTAACCGCAAACTGTTCATAGGGCTAATTTTGATGTCAAGCTAATCAGTGTTCAAACGATGTGCAATAATATCACTTATAATTGCAGACTGGCCCTTATGGCGACTGTCCAGTTGAATATGTTGTCTCAAGAGAAGGCGAAAACGTTAAGGTACTCAAGACGCTGAACTTACTCTCGTGTACTGATTCTCCATATCAAAAATGGAGCAACCTGTCACCTTTAAGCTGCCCAACAACATATCAGGTTTGGAATTAAGGTTATTTATAATCACCATCTTGCACGTGACTCAACAAACGTTTCCCCAGTCTAAGTTTACCAATGAGTTTACTAGTAAGTAGTGTGGTTCGGCATAAAAACCCAATAGAACCTTTTCTATTGTTTTGCAAGTCATGCTCTTAAATAATTTTTACTTTTTGTAGTTTTCGTTGATAATGGATCCTAATTTTTTCTAAGATCAAATTTCTTTCATGATTAAGTTTATGGATTTTATACCTTTTGTTCTCTAACCCAAAATATTGATGAAAACACTAACTGCATTCAGAAAGTTAGTTAAAAGTGAAAGGAAACGCTTGATTTAGGTTGAATTGTATAGGGAAAAAATTCAAATTGGTGGGTATGCTCGTAATTTTTCTACTTCAAAAATTTCTTGGTAGAGGAGCCAAACGGTGGCAAACTTGGAAGAAAATCTTAATAACATTCAGTTGTGTAAAAAAGGAATGGGAATTTTAAAAAGCTTCCATCATTTTAATTCTGTACAAAATATATTCTTCTGTTTTGACGTTTGATGAATCATAATTTTGTGTTTTTCAGGATGGCTTATCCTCTTACAGTGAGAGAAGATACACATTAACACCCAACATAAGTAACCAGTACATAATTCAACAAATGACTGCCACTGGCAACACTTTATTTCAACCTTTCCAAGCATCTGCAGAATCTCACTACATTTCTGTTAAGTAAGTATTGACCTCACTCATTTTAAATTCTGTAAAAATGAATGAAACTAATGAATGGAAAAAATTGAATTAAATTATTTTAAGGAGATAATTTTCCCATCTGAAGTGTATTATCTGAAAACACTTTTATTTATTGCAATCTTGTCTTACGAGTCTGTCGTGTGTCTTGTCGTGTTTGTCTTGTCTGAGTCTTGAAAATATAAACAATTATAGTCTGTCTAAGTTTTGCTTTAAAATCTTCAACCGCTTTCTTTTCTCAGACTGGCCGCAAATGCAATAAAGTCAGGCAAGAAGGCCTTCAAAGTGGGGAAAAAAATTAGATAACTCTACCCTAGCTGCTATGGAGTTAATTCTGCATCATTTGGTGTGAAGAACTTTAAAAAATTTCAAAAACTGATCTTTTAAGAGCAAGAATGGACCACGAGACAAGGTACGAATTTAAGCAATCTGACACATGTTTCTTAACTAGAATTTCACGTAGAACACGATTCACACAACGAAAATTACTGAAAATAACTCCTAACAAAGATATTAACGTTTTTATTTCATATTGATTACGAGGAATTTGAACTGCCCGCTCACAAGAAACTCAAAGCTCTACGTGAGTCAAATCGCGCACTAAAACGGTTTCAGCAAGCTTCTCAATCGAGCAATGTTAATTTCCCACCATGTGTTGTTCAAACTATTAGCAACTAGCTATAGCTGAGCCAAAGCGTCAAGATTGAGGTTGCCAGATTTTTATATCGCAGAGACTGTCATGATAACGTTTAGCGCGGGATGTGAATCACGTAGAGCATTGAGTTTTCATGAGCGGGTGGTTTGAATTCACGCATCAAGAATCAATATTTATCTCCATAAGGAGTTAATTGCGGTAATTTTTGTCGTGGGCATCGTGTTCTGCGTGAAATTTTAGTTACGAAACATGTATCAGAATGCTGAAATTCGTACCTTGTCTAGTGGTCCATTATAGAATGGTAAATTGCAAATTTTAGAGTAACATAGACGAAGTTTACTAAAGAACTAAGCGCTATATTTCATTTTTTAGTCAAAGTCTAAGGTTGGAGAACATTTATGAACTGAATGATACAATCTCTGTAGCTGACCTCGCCTCCTCAAATCTAATTCATCAGCCTCTCAAGAATTTGGACTTTTCAGTTGGACACAAACCAACAAACAAGACAGAATTACTGGAAAAAGTAAGTTTTCATAAGATTCATTATGAATTTATTTTTCACGTGCTCAAGAGATTCTAAGACAAAATTTTATTCTGAGATGAATATGAATTGAATCAATCAGTTCCCATATTGAAAAAATGAATTTTTCTAGAAGACCATATAAACTGTGTCGCCACCAGAAAAGGAATGTATCTACGCAAGAAAAAAAAAGGGAAAAAAAATACATTCTAAAAAACCTTTTGAACTGAAAGATTCAATTGTAGTTGCCTCTGCTAGAGTAAACTTTGTTGACTACTCAGTGAGTTTTGCTTATGATTGCGCTTTCATGCTGTATTATTAGTTTTACTGACCATCTTCATTAGTGCGACAATCAAGAAAAAAATTTATTTAAAAAATATTTCTCAAAATTTTAGCGTTCTGATGTTACCTTACAGGGTGCCGATAAAATCCACACCTTGTTTTATAATTCTAAATTGTTTGGAGGATGGGCTCTTTAAATATTTGACAAGCCTTTTATTTTCTTCAATGAGATCTGAAGCAACTGCAAAATTGATATTATCAGCCGAGTGATATCATCAAATTAAAATTTTCTGTTTCATCGCTGATTTTCAAAGTAATTGTGGTATTAATTTCCTTGTTTCCTCCAGGTGAATGTTTTACTTTCAGAAATGAGCGATAGTCTGCTGTACTGGGAAGTTGGTGTGAGCGGTTTGGACAACGAAACATCCTTCCAAGCACTTCACTTGATGTGGTGGTTTGATTTACCAGAGTGGGAAGCTCTTTATGACACGGTCACAATAGGAACAAGTTATCGGCAAGAGACGATTCAGTAAGTTCTCTCCATCTTCAATTTTTTATACTCCTTCCTATTTTTGGACCGCAATATGCAACAGGGAACTATTACTTCTGTCTTATTTCAGAAACAATGTTTACTCCAATACTTTCCTTATGCATTTACATGCTTTTGTGGGTGAGCCAGAAGTAGTAGTTTTTGATTGCTAAATGTAGTACAACTGGTCAGTAGAATATAAGTCTCGCTGAAATCGCATCAATCTTCAAACCTCAAAAAATTTCTAGGAACCTTGCATCAACCCAAATCAGAACACTGACTTTTTAAATTGAAAAAAAGACAAGAATACTCTACAGAAAATTCAAGAAGAGCTTTAAGACGTTATGATGCCTAGTTCTCTTGTATAACCATTAACCTCCCAAGTCTCTGAAGCAAGACGTCTTGCCGTTTATTTTAGTAGTGCCAAAAACCCGGTGGCAAATCGACTCTTCATTTTAAATTCTAATTTTAGTCGCCAGAGTGCTACTCTGACACCATTGAATGACTTATAGAAAAGCTCCAATGTTTTATTTTATACTGAGTAAGGGAGATTAATTTTTTTGCGATTTTCGACAGAGTGAAAAGTAAAAATACGATAAGTTAAAATGGACTGAGGACTGAAGCGAATAAAAATTGTGAAATCTCCGGGTCTTAGGGAGATGAAAAATAAATCTGGCAAGTAATTACGCAGCCTGGGTCAAATCTGTCTATTTCATATACTTTTTTTTGCTATCACAAAAATTATATCTATTTTCCTGTAAATTTTTTCAGGCATTTATTTTGGGAGTTGGTTCCTCAAATTGGTTCCACCTCCTCTGTTCTTTTCATAAAAAATCTTGTGCAGTCGGGACATGTCAAAGGTCCTCTAGCAGCAAGACTCCTAACCACTTTTCCCTTCTATGTCCGGCATCCTTCGGAAGAGCTACTCCGCCAGTGTGAGGTATAGGAGATTTTTCCTAAATTCACAATATTACTGATTTTAAAAAGTGTTTGAAAAAAATAACAATTTGTAATCATCTCAAAATGCTGAACTTAGATAAACCCTTGATCAATTATTGATGACATCACTGAATTTTTAATTTTATCAGTTCCACTGAATATCACTTCAATGAGGAAATATTACTTTACGAAATCAGGTGGGCACAGCTAAATTGAATGTAGAAATCTGTTTTTTAAATCGTCTCCGAGTTAAAACAATCGGATCAGCTCTATGTGATAGTAATTGGGCAATAAGGCATTTGATCGGAAAAGCTTTCTCTTCAGAAACAGCAGGTTTCCTCGAGTGTCCCTTGGATATAAACAAATGCATTTTAGACTTCTGAATCTTTTTTTTTCTCCATTGTACTCTGATTTTCCAAAAAATTTAATTTCTTCTCCGAAATATCTCAATTTTTAGGAAAAATTAAAATTTTTTGGAGTAGTACTGAATTTATTGACAAAGAGGGAAATATTCTCTAGAATCAGCGCTAAAAATCAACAGGGAATCAGTTCCAAAATTTTTAGCAAACTGACCGGTGTTGACGACCGTAAAAGTATGATTTGAAAACAAGTTTTACTTCAAACGCACCAACTCTTAGATACGTGTTTGGAAATTATTATTATTTCTGAGATGATTACTTTGGCATAAATTCTTGATAAAAAGGAGAAACTGTATAAAACCATATTTGCCGTATTAAATGCAATTTTGTAAGGAATTTTTCTCTCTCATTTGAAAACTTATTGTGTCTTTTTCAATTCTACCATAAATTATCTTTGAATTTTTTTTTTCCAGGATCTAATTTATCTAAATACTATTGATAATATTGAAGAAGATGTAATTCACTCTGGCGTTTTGAGTTTTGCCTCTTTTGTTCGCAAAACCTGTGCTGTCAAATGTAGTATAGACACTTTGGATAGGTATACAAAAATATTCCTCGATCGTTTCTCAGGTGAGAGAATTTATATTTCTTATCACTACACAATGCCATGAATATTTTCCCAAAATTGTAATAACCATTGCCATCGTTGCAAAGATTTGAACAAACTAGAACTAGCAATTAAAATATCATATCATTCCCAATCATTTTCAAGGCAGTGGAATCTTTATCTGGGAAGGAAATAAAACTAATTCAATGCATTTTGCATTTTTATGTTCGTTTTCTTTGATGAAGCTTTTATTATTTTTGGCTCCCTTATACCTATACTTCTTTTTTTTTTTTTTTTTTTTTTTTTTTTTTTTTTTTTACCAGTGTATTATTTCTACAGGAACATTGAGGAGTTTTGAAAAATGTCACTGTGAAACATGTGCTTTGGTCAATTAAAACTTCACGAAATAAATACTCCCTAACACTGTTTTACATGCTACTTTTTTGTCCTAGTATAGAATCAGAAATACATATATGCTAAATCTTTTTTTATAATTATTATTTTTGCATTCCTATCCAATTTAAAGTGAAATATCATAAATCTTCCATTTCAGATAGCACAGAGTACAAAAATCAAATGCTTTACATACAAGTTTTGAAAAACATGGGTCTTGACCACACACTTGAATTTCTCTCCCCTATCATCACAAACTCGAGTCAAAACCATCATCTGCGCTTTCTGAGTGTCTGGGCAGCCATGTCTGCTAGCCACAAAAACCCGAAGAAGGTAAGGAACTAACCAATTAACCACCCATTTAATTATTTATGTAGGCAGTTGTTTATTAAACTTAGGCCATATAGTTACCACTACTGTACATTTTTTGAGGCATTAAATATGCACTTACTTATTGTACCAGCCAATTTTTTCCTAATCATTGTTATAATTCCAGGCATGAACATCTTACAAACTTCAAAATGTCATTAAAATTTTTAAGAGCAATATTAAATATCCAGCAACTCAGTGAGTAAACTATTTTACATGAAAAATAATGTCCCAATCTTTGCTGAAATATCTTGACAGCAGATTGATAATCCATAAAAAGATCAATTTGTAAAAAAAAATCATAAATGACTTTTTTGAGAAATCAGGTTTGATTTTTGAACCTGTAAAGGGTCAGTTGCACTGGTCACAGAATTGTGTTTTGATGCTCGATTCTTGTAGATAAGCTGAAAATAATAATATCTGTCCAAACTGCATCTTTCTATATTCAATATTAATGGAAATATCGCCCTTTGAAAATTCAGGTTTTTGACATCATCCACTGCAGCAGTAACACCCTTGGTTTCTTCCTCTTTTGTTAGATCAGTGATGCAGAGGTTGCAACGCTAAACGTCAGCTACATTAAACGTAAACAAACTGAGGTGAACTGACAGACCACCTAATCTCTTCGCAGCTAGTGCCTTTTCTCCTGATAAGAAGATCTTTAAAGTGCAAATTCATCTGTTTCTTGAGTTTGTTTACGTTTAACGTCGCTGAAGTTTCGTGTCGCACACTCTGCATCACTGATCGAACAAAACAGGAAGAAACAAATTTTTTTATATTAAGTGGTAAAGTTGCGAATTCTCCCATTTAAACAATGTAAATTTATACTTTTTGTCATAGTTCGTTTGAGCGTTCTACCGGACCGATTTCCAAGTTTTTTGCGGTAATCGACGGGTAATTGGCCCTAGATGAGCCCGCTCTATTCAGATTTTGGAAATAGGACCCAGGTTTTTTTACAATCACGTTATAAAAGTGAGTGAATTTTCAGAATGCTCCGAGACTGCTACCGCTATGCGCGGGAGGATGCGCAGTGGTTAAGGAGGTTGCGCAGTAGCTGTGTAGCCTGCGCATCAGCTCTACACTTATCTACACAAGATTCGCTCTGATCCCGTCAAGACGAGCGATGGCCAAGTCGTCAAAGACGTCGGAAACGTCCACTCAGATCATGGTGTGGGTTCGATTCCCACATCCCGATATACTTAATTATTACCTGATTATCAATGATCGTTGTTTTACTGCAATATTTCATCAAGCAGTCATTCCAAAACGCGTCCTTTAGACTTCAAAAAAAAATGTGTTTCTTTATTCATCAAAACCAAAAAGTATTATATTCTAAAAGTAAAGTATATCTCATATCGTAATTTTTTAGGGGAAAAATAAAACTAACACCGATAGGAGGGTAAAAATAGGGCCGCAAAGCGGCCCATTGACGGCGCGGAGCGCCTTCAGGGGGTTGGGCCGCGTAGCGGCCAGGGGGCGTAGCCCCCCAGTTTATTGCTAATCTACAAGAATCAAGCATTAAAACACAATTCTGTGACCAGCGCAACTGATCCATACATTATAAACCACAATGAACCTCCCAATGAAATTGCTAACTAACGGACAATCTATTTTTTGCTTTTCCATTATCCCCACAGGTAAGTGAAGTTTACTGGCCAATTTTACTGAACAAGACAGACTTTCTAGAAATCAGAGTTGCAGCTCTCACAGTCCTCCTCCTGTCAAATCCATCAGCCTCGCGTTTAATCAGTTTGTATTGGTTCATGAAAGAAGAAACCAATCTTCATCTGTACAACTATTTCTATACGACCATTCATTCCCTGGCTGGCTCATACTTCCCATGCTACGCGCATTTGTAAGTATACTGATTTTTACTTTGTAGGAATTTATTAAGTGAAATTTGACTTTTGGTTGGCACATACATTTCTACTAATTAACAGGGAGCACAGAGAGAATTGTTTCATGTGCAAATAATGCGGTAAAAGAGAAGGGTCGTAAATAAATGTATCATTATACTTAAAAAATTATATATTATTCTATTACAAAAAATGATTTAAACCTAGGAAACAGAAAATGTTTTAAAGCACACAGATTTGAAACGGGAATGTGTTGGTCTCCTGGCATAAAGGCGTAACTACAATATTTAAGATATTAAATATTTGAAATGAGCTGCATTTTTTATGTATGTAACAGGTTTATTTGGACGTATTTCTACCAAACAGACCTATGTGGAGGTGAGAAATATGGGGTGTGCTCGTTAGTTCTCTGGCCGTAAGAGTGGATGGGAATAATAAAGCGCCAGTGACGTCAGCGGCAATGAAAAAGCGGGGGCGCATCGGGAGGATCGTCGTCGGGGCGCTTTAACTCGTGAGCCCTGTCCACAACGCTCTCTTGCCATGCCCGCGGCTCATGAGTTCCGCATTCAGTTGCACATAGGTCTGTTTGATAGAATGTAAAATCCCGCTTTTCCAATTCTTCAAAAGGAATCACGCCCACTGACCACATTGCTTCTTATGCAGCTTCAACAAGCACACCCCATATTTCTCACCTCCACATAGGTCTGTTTGGTAGAAATACGTCCATTTGTTAGTAGAGTTCTGTCCTTATTTTAGAAGAAAAATTTCAGGCTGACAAAGAATGTACAGTTCCAAGATGAACCATTTTTTTTTTTATTATTATTATTTTAAAATTTGTGTTTCTAGCTTAATTGATATGATAAATCCTTTCAATTTCTTCCAGGAAATCGCTTGCTTCTCAGATTGTACGTATTCTACCGGTAAGATCAAGTCAGTGGACAACTGGAAACTATTTGCTTGACTACGAAAATATAGCAAGAGGGTGCAGCGGCTTGATTCAACTGGCCCTGATAGGAAGCGAACGGACAGGGCTGCCGGATGTCATTTACTTCCAAACGGAGCAAAACTCTTTGGGTTTCGTTTCTCAATTCTCTGTAAGTCTAGTTGAACCTTGAGTTTTGATGTCCTCATGAAATCTTTCAGGTTTATTGACGTAGCTTCAGATGAGTTAAGAAAATGTGCAAGAAATGCTTGCTGAGAAACACAGGCTGCTGGCAATGACTTTAAGCTCATGCTGTAACTTTATGATGTTGCATCTATATTTTACCAGAGGACTCAGCCTCTTTGATGATTTTTTTTTTTTTAAAAAAAACAATGTATCAGTTCATTCCAATTTTTTAGAACCCTCAAGTTGGTTTCTTCTGATTACTCTACTGATTGTCTTTGTAGTTACTTGAAGGTCTTTAAATGCTGTTAAGTATATACTCAAATATCAGTGGTGGTGGGTTATGTGGTGGTTTGGTGTTGGCAAAGGGAAGACACAGTGAGTGAAATGAGAATGTCTTCATTCAAAGACTAACTGAGCACTGAACAACCATTGTCCGCGAGCAGCGGTGACAATGCGATCATCTGAATGTAGGTTACATAAGTGTACATGCGGAAATGGAGTACATCATGTCAGTCATTTTATTATTATTTTTCAGATGTATGCCAAACTAACTGGAGTCAATGAAGCCTTGAAGTCTGAGTTCCTCAATAAAATTCTGAAAATAAATGAGCAACACGATGAGAAACTGTATGATTTGCTGAAGACATCCCAGTTTCCTTTGAAACCGAAAGAAGCATTGCACGTAGAACTAATAATGCAAATGGACTCGCAAGTGATTTTATGTCAGTACTACAATCAAACAACGTTTCATGAGCTAATCAACTGTAAGTAAAGTCGTTTTTTATTTAGTTCTCAGCCCACCATTGCATCAAATAAACCATGCCTGTGATTTGTGTGATCATCAAAATGGCAGAATTCACAGGCATTTAGATCTTCAGACCTCGATGGTTGTAAGTGCCCGTTTGATTTCAAAATAACTCAAATCTGCTGTTAAAACGTTATGCTCCTCTTAAGACGTTAAAACTTAAAAATAAAAAAAAAACTGTGGCAATAACCTCAAATAGGAACCTGGTAGGCTCAGTAAATGAGAATACAAAAGGAAAAAACAGAGAGTAGAGTCGAAAGAAATCTCGCTGAAGGTTTGTTATTTCACTCATTTTCAGTGAAAATAAAAGAGAATATCAAGAGGTTCTGCTAGAATTAATAATGATATTGAAGGAATGGAGAAATCCTCACATACTCTTGAGCACATCTTGTACATGGAGTGATATAAAGAAAATCAAAATAAAAAAAAATTAAAACCTAAAATATATTCCAAGCCACTCCAAAGTACTTTTCAAGTTTTTATCCATGATCATCTCGGTTCCACCAATAATTTTCAATTTCGTTTCATCAAGTATTAGTCTTCAATTGTGTTCTCTTTAAATTGAACCTCATTTTTTTTCTCTCTCTCTCTGTAGACTTCAAAAAAGCCAGTTCCTTATACTTCGAGTTTAGTGTGAACTATCAACGACTAAGGTTCCCGATGCGATATACAGCCGTTCAGTTGAGTGATATTGGAACCTCTGCTGTCTTGCAGTATACAACAGCCTCCCTTACTTCAGCCCGAGGCTACATCCGACAGGATCATGAAGGCAGTCCAAGGAATGCAGAGCTTGACCTAAGGTTAAATATTATCATATCATTTCAAACCTACATTATTTTCTGTAGCTAATATGTCGTGAACTCCTATTTTAATGGTCCCTTTAGCCTTTTCACAATGGTTAAATGTCGTTAATTTTTTTTTTTTTTTTTTCAATTTATTTTTTTATTTGAGGAAGTAAAAATGTTTTAATGGGTATGGTTGCCGTTTTTACCATAACAATAACACTCTAAATTAAGTAGAAAACAGTTCCAAAATTCTATTTGTTGGAGAGGTTGTTTTTTTTTTTTTTTTTTTTTAACAAAAGAAGTTGCATAATCTTAACTAAGTTGAATTAGGACTTAGTATCATTCGTTTAAACCCAATGTAGTCGGCATTGTTCCTTCTCCTCCCCACTATTTATTCTCCGTAAGTGTACTCAAAACATGTTCTTATTACAGATACTCTCTAACAACTGTGACAAGCCTGGAAGTGTTTAACCCTTTGAAAAATAAATGGTGTGGTGCTCAGCGGTTGCATAGTCTACACGCCAGAATTCCATTTGCCACCCAGTTGCTTTTGCATGTTGCAAAATCATACATAAAAATAACTGCCAATAGACATAAAGGTTAGTTTCAATTAAATAAGCTTAGATTAGAATGGAGAAACCTTTTGATTATATGTACATTGAAATTAGAGCTACTAAAAGACAGATCTCCATCATGGGTTTTCAGAATCCCTGCACTTGTTTTAGGTATTTGAATAAGAGAGGCTTACTGAACATTTTTGCTTCAAAATTTCAGTGAAAATTCTTAGAGTGGCGAAACTAATAACATTGAATTTTGTGCAATAATGATAAATAGTCGTCCTTTTCAAAGGGTAAAATGTAACCGGGAGTCTGCAACATTGCCAACCAAAATACAATACTTATGGCTTCGCTGTAATTTACTTGTTTGGTTAAAACATCCAAATAATCAACAAATGGAAAACCGACAATAGTCATGCACCGGGTTCAAATTTGTTTTCAGTCGACAATTTGTCAAAATTTTCCTAAAATTCTATTCTTTCTTCAAATTTCAAAATTTTTTTACACTGGCACCTGTCAAAGAGGAGACCATTGTACAGTTAATATTGATTAATTTAATCATAAGAATTACATACGCCAGCGTTGTGGCAAATTTTTGTTTTTTCTCAGAGGAGTCGAAAAACTTTATTTTTTTGATTGAGAATGTCCGATATGCAGAGATCTATGTATTCAAACACGTTCACTCACAAAAAAAACGCGTTGATTAGCTTCATAAAATAATCCCAAGTTTGTAGTAGAAAACAACAAAATTATAATCACGGTCATAATAGTGAAAGTAAGCGTTCACTGAAAGCATTGCGTTCAATTAAGTAAGTTGAGAATTGATCAGAGAGTTAACACATAAACAGAAGGGAATGAAGCACAGTAATGTAAAAGGTTGACGTCAGTGAGTGAGAAGACAGATAAAGCCAAGCTGCCAAGCTCGATAAGAGTTGAGTTAGTAGAGTGGACAGTGATGTAAGCCAGGTGATTAAAATGTTGATTCGTTTCTGAGATCGTTAGAGTTACGAGAAGTGAGTTTGGTGGATGAAGAAAGATGGATAGTAGCGATGGAAGCATAAGATGCTGATGCTGATAGTTGATTAGCTGGAGCTGTTCTTATGTAATGAGTTCAGATGAACTGGCTGGTGATCAACCGAGGGAGGTGCGGGAAATTGATGTCTCTTAAAGCTTGATAGACACCGTAGCCTGTAAAATTAACTGAATTGTTGGCTTCTCTACAAACTGCACGAATTGGAAAAGCTTCTTTAGGTTTCTTGCGTTTGCTAGGTTTGTGTTCGAAGGATGGCCAGCATCACTTTTGACGCACTGGGAGACAAAGAGCGAAAATTTCGAGATTGAGCATAATGTTGACACTCACTTCACTGTATGACAGTTTTTTTTCGGACAGGGGTGTCGAAAAACTACCCTAAAACTTAGAGAAATGTTGGATAGAAGTAACGTTTTAACTAAGATAAGATCATTAGAGACGGCAGGTTCAAGATCAATAAGGCAGTGGAAAAGATCCTCCTTTGTCTTTCAATGACGAATGCAAGAGCGACATCTGACATTGTGACTGAAAGATGGTAGACATTTTATGGTTTCATCTTTCAAGATTTACACCTCAGAGTGCTACACTGAAGGCTTAATGAGTGGGCAATTGATGCATATAGTATTGGACTTTTTCTACTGAGAACTTTAGGGACCACAATATTCAAGTCATGACCATTGACTTTTTTATCATGACCTCAGCCATTTCATTAGTTATCTTTCTTCTGTATTTGACGCTTTTAATGTAAATTTTACTTCTGTGACCAGATTTTGTCGATGGCTCCAAACTGGGAGTGATTTGGCACTCCACCACCAAAATGTTTCATGATTCATCAATTTTGACGCCAATTAAAAATAATGATGTAAGTAGCCTCAACGTTTATTACAATTAGAACTATTTTGTTTAAAATACTGAAGTTGTTTCTAAAACGGATTTTAAAAAACCAAGGGGGAAGCTCTTTTACGTTCATATTTGAGAAACGCTCAGCTGTTTTCTATGTTGGCGCGTTTTTGAGTTCCTCAAAGATGAGCACCTTTGAGATGAAATAACTTGCTAACCAAAATTTCAACTATCCATTTTGAGAAAACTACACTATTGCTAAAAAAATAAATTGAAGAAAAACGATTATCGTCCTCTGTGTTTTGACATCAGAAGCATTAAATAAAGGTCTGGCAGATTAATCTATTCTAAATATGATAGGCCCCTCTCCACCATCTTGTTCTTGAGCTGGTGCATCATTTGAGTGCATTGCCACTGGTATACTAGAATTCAAGGAGTAGGTTTAAATCAAATAGCGCTCCTTATTGACTGAGGGCTTAAAAATCTATCATTTATTTTTGAGGAATTAGGAAGCGATTGTTACGATTGTTAAGAACAGAATGTTACGTTGCCTCATTTTTACCATGCTATCAACAAATTGAATTGAATTGAAAAGAGCACGAAAGCACTGGAAGTATACTTTCACCTTTTCTCTACGGTGCTTTTATGATTTTCGTTCCAGGATTGGTCAATTGAGTCACTAGACCTCGGCGCAAAATTCGGAACGAAAGTTTTTGATTGTCAAGATGGCTCAGAAATGTCAAACTCTCTCATCGCAATCAAGGAAGCCTTTGTAAACAACAACAAAAATTACAGGTAGGTAAATAGGGTATGTTTGATGTTCAGAAAAATCGCGGTTTCATGCGGTTGGAATATCTGCGGTCGTTTGGAGCTCTGATATTTTGTTTCTTCGGATGAAAAAAGTGTGTAAGAGGTGGTCAAAATAATAATGACAGTCCAGACGGTCAAATGGACGGAATTTTTCAATTAAAAACTACAGTTTCTGGCTCAGTTTAGAAGCAATGTATGTACCATTAGTTCCCCTGTGCACAAAAGTGTTTTTAAGGATGAGCCAGAAATTGTAGTTCTTAATTGCAAAATGAAGTCCAAATGTCATTTGATCTCTTTTCCTAAGTGGTCGGTTTTTTTTCAATCTGTTAAGACAGTCTAAACTCAGGTCAGAAGTTTACTGTAAATTCCTTTTACTGTATTATTTGCAGGGAAATAACTTTTAGGGTGCTTTTTCGGTCTACCGTTTGTGAGTTCGGACCAACTGCGGTTATAGATCATCAACGGTACCTCCTGTCCCAACTACCACAGATAACAAATTGTAGTTGAGCTGACTTTAATTATAGACCTCCGTTTTATGCATAAAGTTTAAGATTCTGGAAACTGGAACAGTTGCCATTATGTCCAGACCAGCAAGGCAACAGTGCTCAGTTTAGCTATTGTAATGAAAAAAATTAATATAGACCTATAAATATCTAAAAGGTAAAGAACCAAGTGTGGGAGGGAGAGCAAAGTTCTTTTGTAAGTTACTAATAAGCACAATTTTGCAGAATGATTCCAGGAGGTGTTTTTTGGCTTGGTCTGTTCTCTGTGCCAGACTACTTCCAGTTTTTACCGTCAAGCGGAAGCTGTGGGCTGATTTTGTCCCTTTCGCCACTGCAGGTAATCTACATTCTTTTTAGTCCTCTAATGTTAGAATGACACCCGAAAATTTAGCATGGTGCTATTCTAATGAAAAGGCTTTTATTCTTAATCTGAAACCTGTTACTGGACTGAAATCTGTTACCTTGTCTGAAATTAAATTATGGCCTTTGTGATTTATATTTTGTGACCCTGACGATAAAGCGCTTGCTTCGAGAAGCTTTGGTCAAAGTTTGTCAATAAACTGTAAGGTTTTTTTAAAGAAAATGTTACATGATTTCTAGCACTTGGCTACACTTAAAATACCAATATTCTTAATCCTTTTCTCGATCATGAAGAATTGGGGATCCTTCCTTGGAATTCTTTTCTCTAACGAGAGAACGTTTTCAGTGCACTTATTTCTAGCTGGTTAATAATCAAGTCTAGATCTAGGTACATGTTTCTAGTAGGCCATCAGTTGAAATTGGTCTGAAATTGAAAAATTAAGTGCATCGTAATGGTTAAGATAGTGTAGTCTCCTCCTTAAAGGGAAAGAAGAAAAAAAAAGTCTCAAAGCATGTTAAAACGAGTGTTAAAATTAAAATGATAACGCTCTGCAGAGGTATTTTATTGTGAAGTGTGTTAAATCTCAAATTTCAATAATATTTGAATGGTTAATATGTCACTTAATTTTGGAGGCTGAACCTGCTCTCCTGGTAGAAGGTGGGACGATGTCAATGTCGATGAGCCAGAAGAATGAAATTGTCTGGGACCTAACTTCAGTCTACAAAGAGTTGAAAGACGGGAATCAAGAGCTGCAGTTCAAGTTGATCCACTCGAATAAAGATATGAATGCATCTCTGAGCCCTTCTAGTTGGAAATTCATGCGTTTGGAGGGGAATTTTGTGTTTCCGAGTCGGAGGTCTGGCGCCATATCTCCTCCAACTCCCCCTCGAGGGCATGCTTTGATCTCCTGGGGTTTTCAAGACTTTATCTCAGTGCTAGAGCTTGACATCGAACCCAAACTCATGAATTCTCTGCGTGACCAATGGCCAACATCTTGCTCAGATGGCACTTACGACATTCCTGCATGTCTCCAGTTGGCGCGGAAAATTGAGACAGAACTCACTGTCAAACTTCACTACTCCAATGTAAGTAACCTCCAAAATTAATAAGTTTTCATCTACCAATATGATCACGCTCCTTCATAGAGTCTTTGAAAATTTGATACAATCATTAATGATGATATCCCACTTTCTGTTCATCATTCTTTGTCCTGAATTTAAAAAATTGTCAATGTAGAATTTTTGATAGTCATTTTGCAATGATTCAAGAAAGGAAGGAGGGTTTGCCTTTAAATTAGAGTTGATTTTACAACAAAACCAAAGATAATGATAAGGAAATTAATAATTTTGCTTCAACTACTGCTTGATTATTAGAAATCATACCAAAGATACCAACTTGTGACAAGTACTTAATTTTGAAAAAAATTCAATCTCTTGAAAGTGCTCGATTCTTTGGAAGGTGTTCAAAAAGTGATTGAATTATACTCTTCACTAGTTGTCAGCGAAAAATTCTCGTAGTTCAGAAATTGTGAAGCCTTTGAAAGTGAATTGATCCCTTGAAGAGATTCTGTTTTCTCTCATAAATTGTGATTTACATTCTATGAGAACCAGATTTGCCGACTTTAACTCCAAGTCTTTGCAACGATAAAATTAAAAATTTTGACACGTGCAACCATTCAAAGCTTACCAATCCAGTAAGCTTGAAAAAAGAAGAGACAATGATTAAAAGTACACACGTGCAGGAAACTGTGTATGTTGGAAAAAATTATGAAAATAATCTAGAAACACTGCCTGAAAAATGATCGATTTTTACTTTTGCACGAACTGTGAAGAAGATGGAACTTAATTTTGAAACCTTTGATTTTGTAAAAATAATTTTAATTCCCTCATAATTTTCACATTGAACAGATGGTGTTGCAGAGGAGAAAAGGTTTTCTCAAAATTTCTCGCGTGAATTTGTTGTACTCACGATGTATCTTTTGAATTTGTTGTGTGAGATAATGTGGAAGTAAGTTCGATCTTCTTTTTGAAAATTTGAATAATTTTTAAAAATTTATTTTTTCTTCCAGCTGCCAGGATGGCTGAAGATTGCGATCAACTCACTGTTCCCAAGTTTAGTTCACTCCGAAACCAACTCATCTCTTCTTCAGTTTGGATTCCCAACCAAATTACCATGGACAACTCAAGGTGTGTTTGTTTCTCATTTGTCTCTAAATCCAAATTGCGCCAAAAAAAAGTAAAAAAACTTTGCTCTTACAATTTTTTATTTTTTTTAGCACTACCCATTAATTTTTCTCTCCTCTTCTCAATAAACTTTGGGACAAGTATTAGATGAGAAGAATACTTTGCTGACTTTATTGGAAGGAAGTCAGATGGAGGTATGCTCTTCCCTTTTCATGCACCTCAAATCAACGAAACTTCCAGTAGCGTTGGTTCAGATTCAGTCTTGGCAGGGATTTTGGTCCAACGGGAAGAGTAGACCAATAAGAATCAAATATTTCAGGATTGAACCCTCTTTCAAACTTTCTGCCAAGACTGAAAAAAACCAATGATACTGAGGGACCAAAAAAATCAAAATCAATACAGATCAAATCGTCTATAAAAAAAAAAAAAAAATGTTAACTTGCTTAACCAAGCATTTAGTTTCACATAAATTTTCCTCTCCCGGTGCTTTAAATTTTTAGGCTGTTAAGAAAGATACGTCACGGTGAAATATAAAACACACTAAAATTAAGTCAAGAGTCCATTCAGTCCCAGCAAATTTTAGTTTTTCGTACAAGCGGGAAGTTTGAATTGATGATAAAAAATAAATGCTATTTTACAGCTTATGGCCTAATTTTGTAAATTTTTAATGTCTCCAACCTATTCTGCATGAAATTTCAATGAGGTAGTATATATTGCATTGTGTGATTTTCAATTTGGTCCCAAAGACCATCGTTCAAAGTTCCTTTTTATTAATGGGAGAGGTTTTTCGTGCATTTTTTCTTAAAACTAATTCTGTCCGCAGGAATGTGTGCACTGAGCTTGAATAGCCTAATGACTTTTGATGGAGCCATGTCAAATCACCAGTTCAATTCAACCTGTTACAAGGTAGCAGTTGCTGACTGTTCCCCGAAAACTCATTTCTTTGTTGGCGTTAAATTGAATGAAGGATCTCAGCTATTGGTAAGTTCTTTTGAGCAACCATTATTTTCCTCTCTCTTTGTAGCCATATATGTATTAACAGCGGATTTTGTGTTTTTTGAGTTTTGAGAAAATCACGCTCAAAGTTTTTGAAGCTGTGAATTTTGATGTCCGCACCACAAATTGATGGTGGAACTACCAGACCATGTATCTCGGTTTGCTATATTGCAGACTTCCTGTCATCCTTTAATTTTTAAATGGAAACTCACTCATCATCAATCCCTGAAAATCTCTGTAATTTTTCTTCTATGTGCAAAGAAAACTCTGTGAAAACTTCAAGGTATAATATTAATTCGTTCTTCAAAAGAATATCATGGGAGTGGAGATTTGAACGGCAAACAAGAGGCCAGCATGCCAGCAGCATTTGTGGGAAGTACAGCAAACAAGATATGTGAAAACGACATTTCAGAATGCAAACCGTATCCAATTTTGGATTTTCATCTGTGTTCTTGGATGATGGACCACCTCCCTATTTTCCACATGGATGGATACCTCCATCCAAACGGTAAAAAGGGTGTGCTGTAGTAGTTTGTTGAATTCATATACTGAACTAAATAATAAGTAAATGGGAAAACTGAAGAAGTGGCAAACTTTGTAAAACTAATTATGAATCAATCAATTTTTCAGGATATGAAAGTTGAATCTGAAGGAAATGTTGTTGAGGTGATACCAAAAAGCACAAGTAATTTGACAGTCATTGTGAACGGTGCATACATGCCCAACGCGATGTACACTGTGCAGCAATCCACAAACGAGACAAATGTTATTTTCAGGTAAAGTCACATGTTTCTATTTGATTTACTACTTCTTTATTTAGAGAAATATTCTTAGAACCACTAGATCAACCAAGCTGTTCAAACCTGTAACCAGTCATGGGGAAGGAGACCTCAGTCCTTTGACGCAAAATTTTCGGTGAGATTTCTGTCTGGTTGGGTCAAAAAATTGAATACGTACCCTTTCCAGTGTCCTAAAGAATAAGTTGCGAACAGTTTAGTCAATTTTTGTGCCAGTCCAAGATTCCTCTGCTGTAAGGGCGTATCTTTATTTCTGAATGAGCCCTGTTTGCCATATAACTTGATGCTTACTGCTGCTCATGGAAACAGAGATACGCCCTTGCGTTAGAGGAGTGATGAATTGAGGAAGTAAAACTTGCATCATCATTTGATGATGCGGCACCTTCATTATGGCTAATTAGCATTTTAAAAAGTAGACAAATTCTATTTTATGTCTCAGCTGCAGCTATAATATTGTCACTTTCCAGGTAAAGTATCACAAGTGGCATTTGTGCTTTGGTTGTATGCCACCAAACTTCTCTAATTTGTTCAATTTTGCATGAAAAAATTAACAAGTCCCTTGAAAATTTTACTTAATATTTATTGTGGTTTCAAGATTAATCCCAGAAATATCATGGAAGTATGTACAAAACTTTTTGAGATAAAATTGAAACATTAGTTGGATTTTGGTAACATAGCATTGAAGCATGAATAACACTTGGGATGTTTTGGCTGGAAGGTGACGATATGTACTGTAAGATTAATTCCATGATACTCGTACCAGTAGCATTCCTCTTGCTTTGCAACAGGATGTAAACATGATACAAAATAGACTACAGTCCTACTATTGATACTATGTCGGCCTGACATGACAAGACAGATCTCAATCTCAACCATGCAATATAGCACAATTTGATGTCTTATCGGGCTGCTTTATACTTTCAATAATCGGCCCGTTTATCTCTTTAACTGGTTTGGGCCCAGGCACTGCATTTTAAATACAATCTTCCCAAATAGTTTCTTATTCGAACTTCTTTCTTCTTATTTTTTCAAGGATTAAACAATGGGGAAGCTCGGAAATGCTAGAGGTGGAGGTTGGTAATGGTGTAACATTACAGCATTACGGTCATTCAGTCATTGTTTTGGTATCACTTCGATTACGAGGGACAACATGCGGTTTTTGTGGCGATTTCAACGATGAGCCTAGCAATGATTTCTCACCTCAGGAGACAACATGTGTCAATTTTTAAAACAAATTTATTTGAACTCTTCAAGTTGAACCCCTCTGCAGCAGAATTGTCAGAAGTTCCTGCCCACCAATCACACACCAGAGAATAAAAATTTCTCCTGCTCCATTCTTGTTTCTCCTGTTCTTGTGACAGTTGCTCTCCAGAGATAAAGCCGCCTTCAAAAGGTAGATTGGCTCAATGTAGTAATTTTAAGGAGACAATAGTACAAATCATACTTGGACATGATGTCGTTGTCAAGTATGTCTTTCCCTTTATTTTTTCACGAAAAGCTCCTTAGTTAATCCGTTCTTGATTAAATTTTGAGCTTTGACAGGAACAATCCATCTCCAGATTTCCCTGGCTCAGCATTGGTGCCAGGAAAACCTTGATGAAGCTCCCACAAAATCAGAACATCTACGCAAGTAAAACTATGTAAAATTTTGCTACAGAAATGACTGTGTCACTGTTTCTATTCAAAATCAATTGTTAAGTGCATTAAAACTTTGAAGTTGAAGTCCAAATGGTGGAATAATCTTCTAGGATTTTATGTCTGAATACATGAGCCAGGTTGGTGTGACAGTAGGCTGAAAATATTAACTAGCCCTTGGTAATTTACAACATGGCAATCCTTCTCATACATATATCCAGCAGGACAATCATTCTTGTTGGTAAGTATGAGGGATAAGGATAATGTCACTGATGACAAAGTGGGAATCTCCAAGTGGTGGTCAATAAACTGACAAAAAATGTTTTTCGTAAACACAAGCACATGAGTCACCTATCGAAATGACAGTTTTTGGCAGTCTATCAATTGCTGGTTGAAGATTTTTACCTCCTTACCAATTGCATCATTTACTTCCTCGGAGCAATTCACTCATCATCCAATAAAAATTATCAGCCTACGGTTTTTTTCTGCACAAAGAATTCCACTCATCAATGTACAGAGTGTCTCATTTGTAAAATTTGAGATACTTTTTTCACTTTTTGAAAGACTTAAACTTATTGTGTGGGGTTCCACAACCCATGAAAAGGCACTGGCATGTTCAGACGAGAGGTGGGCTTCATAAATCCACCATTTCTCCACAACTTACCAACCAAATTGGACTATTATTACAATTAAATAAAATAGCTTGTTGGAAAGGTAAGAGGAGGCCTGTTTCAAAGGTCGCTCGATGTTTTTCTTGGCACTGATAATGCTTGAATGATAAATGATGAACACTTGCCCCAACATTCACCCTTGAAGTTATTGAGATGTTCTCAACCAAAGAATTGAGTTTTCTCTGTAACATTATTTTGCTGTAGTTGAAAGGATTATAAAATCACGCTCATGCACGTTAAAGTTCAATGATATATTTTAATGTTCCGATTGGGACATCCAGTGTATCTGTAGATAAGAGCGAAAGAAATGTTTTTTTTGTATTTTCAGTATAATTTGCAAGGGCTCTGTGTGTGTAAAAAGTTGATAATGATATCGAGCACCATACCCTTTAGGGGGGTTTTTTGCCATCAAGCCACAGGCATTTTTCCCAGATTTTTTTAATTTGCAAAAATGTAGTTACAGTTCTAATCACGAACATAAGTGAAGGTAATGAACAATTAAATGTATTACGTATGTACATAATTACATAGAGTTTACATAGCTAATAAGTGAATTGTCACAATAAAATTTTTTATTTTCAGTTATTAATATATCTCTTGGAAGAAAAAATAGTGTCTCTGTATAAATGATTGAAAAGTATTAATAAAGTATGCTGATCCAACTCATTCCACCTCTCTCTAATTATTCTCCCTGAAATTCTGTATGGTTGAAAAAAACCAACTTAATGAATAAGTCTTTTTCGCAGTGACCCATAACAGGATGTCCATCTGTTCACTTGAAGGAACACCAACAAGGAAGTAGTAATTTGATTCCACCTAAATTATTCATGTATCTTACTTACCATGAAATATAAAAGTGAGACAAATTCATTGGTAAATGGAAATTATCTCTATTTAATGAGCAGTTTTTAATGAAAACTCAATGCTCATTATGTCAGTAATTTCGTTTCCATGCACTGGTCAGCTACATTTTGCCAAAAAATCTTAATAACAACTTTTTTTCCAATTTTGTGTTTTTGAGAAGATGATAGTCATCTATTATTTGTATTTTTGTGTTTATTATTATATTCTACACTCTACAAACCCATGCTGATAGAAAAGATTATTCTATTTGGCATTTTTCTTCAGTTTTTTTTGCAACTTTCAAAGAGGAAAAAAGGAAGAATAAAGAACAGTAAGCCTGACAACAATGGACCACTTAAGAACCACGTGTTTCTTAACCAAAATTTCACGTGGAAAACGATTCACACAACGAAAATTACGGAAACCAACTCCTAACGAAGATATTAACGTTTTTATTTCACATTGGTTACGAGGAATTTGAACTGCCCGCTCACAAGAAACTCAAAACTCTACGTGAGTCAAATCGCCCACTAGGTACAACGGTTTCAGCAAGCTTCTCAATCGAGCAATGTTCATTTCCCATCATGTGTTGTTCAAACTACAGGGTGTTCGAAAAGTCCCCTCCCCCCCCTCTAACTTTTGACCTAATTGAGGTAGAGATTTGAAACTTGGAGGGTGTTCCTAGATCAAAGGGAGCTACTTTTTGACCCCCCAAAATTTTGGGGGGCCCCATTTTGGGGGGTTACGGACGCTAACTTTTAATTTTCAAATGGGGAGACCCCCTTTGTGATACCTCGTTCGAAAGAGCATAAAAAAAGAAAATTTTTCGCGCAAACCGGAAGTCATTATCTCAAACCGTTTCAAAATGGCGGCCGGTCAAAGTTCCAAATGG